CAAACTCAAAAGATTCAGCCAGTTTTGGCGGTGAATAAATATTATTAAAATTATAAATAATATTATTATTTTTCGTTGCCTATAATTTGAAATGAAAATGCTTAATTCACTATTTTTCCGTTCGAAATTTTGATGACTAAAACCAGAATATTGATACTTTTAACCTATGAACTTCCGTGATAAAGATCAATATAATGCAACGTTAACGCAACCGTATACTATTTGAATCTCTTTTCGATAAATTCAAGTTGTATTTGCCCCAATAGAAATGAATTGTTTTTATTTTCCAGTTAAATTTTAAGTTATTTTGAAAAATGAAAATGTACGTACGTCGTACGTTATGAGTAGTCAGCAGTTAAACAAATTCAAGGCAAATTTGTTCATAGGTATCACATATCTTTGCGACTTTATATGGTTTTTGTATATGAACTTATAATGGGCACGTGTAAAGAAATTAATGATATGAAAACTGAAAAAAAAATAAACATAAAACATGCGTATTTCTGTTTTTCATTCCGCATCGGTATTCAATTTAATTTTATGGATTTTCGCTGTTTCGCACGCACACTCTCTTTTCGCACCTTTCTGCCTTTGGTTTTTGGTGACAATTTTTAACTAACATCAGATATCTTGCTATAAAAAGTCGAAGAAATTATTTGAACAGAAAAATTTTCTTTGAGAAGGTAATAAAATGTTATGCAATGAAAAAATTTATAGCAAAAATGATATAAACAGTTAGTTGAATAATTTTTTTTTAATTCAGCTTAAAATGCTGTAACTGTTTGCAGCTCAAAAGTGTTTTTATGGATTGTCAACGATTCACAACTCACGATCTTCGTGCGCTTTACATTCGCGGTCGTTGTCGTCAAACTTAAAATCGGTTAAGCACTAAATAAATGACCAAGCAGCAATGTGTTTAAATGAATGTAGTGCCAATGTAGAAGCAAGCATATAGTCTACGCCTATAGTCTATAGATGCACATACATGTCATTTATATTGAACGATCTGTTATCTCACATTCATCATCTTCAATCAAAACGTTTAAGAAACAGACTGGTTTCAGCTGAGGGGGTTTTCTTTTTATCTCATATTTCATTTTTTTTAAATAAAAATAAAACCAATCAGAATTACATCGATTAATTAACAAATCTTAGCCGGTTAGCTACTTAGAAAACGGTTTTTGCAAATACTGATGATACACATGGTATTATCATTAGAGCGAATAAATTAATTCGACTATAAAATATTACCGAATTGAAAAAGCGAATACTAGTTAGCCATTACTATGGAAAGCAACCGATTAGAATTTTTCAGCAACCGATCATTTGACACACATTACGTACTGTGTTCCGTTAAAACTGTTATTTTAATTCTCTGATATTTGTATTCTATTTTGTCTTTTTTTTGCAATTAAATCAGTTGGTTACTGTGACTGTTTGTTATTTGCTTTGGCTAAGCATCAAAATACCTTTCAATGAAATAAACCACGTAACCAAACTAAAATCGAAGGAGCGTACAGATAAAAAAGAAATTGCTTGAATTTGAAATGGCGACGCACGTTCGGATGTTAATTATTATTAATGCAAAGTGTGCATTTGAAATCAAGTCACTTTTTTAATAACTCGATAAATAATTTTTTTTTCTCTGGATCATTCAGAAAAGCACGTTTTTAATCGCATCTAAAGGAATTGATTAACGAACAACAGTTGTTTTTACGGTTGTTTGGTGAACAATAACAACTAGATCGGTTGATAGAAAGGAACTTTGGTGTGACAATTTATTACCCGAGACATTTTTTTTTATGTTCGTATAAAATGTTTTATTGCTTGATTACGAGTTGGCTAGGCTGGCCGCAAAATATTTACTCTAATTACTTGGGATTTCTATCTGAAATAACTCACTTAGTGCGCACAACTGTTTGATTTGTAAACTAGATCAAATTGAATTCTTGGTGTAACTTTATTTTTAGATTGATTGATTTATTTCATAAAACATAATTTATATTTAGTACAAAATATACATATATTCTAATGAAGTGTTGTTTGTTTTTCCACTTTAATAGGCGCAACGTCCAGAGAATACGGTGATGCAAGCTTTGGAATCGTTGAACGATTCACAAGTGAACGATTTTCTTAGCGGGAAAACGCCATTGAATTTGAGTATGCGTTTAGGTGATCACATGATGCTGATTCAATTACAATTGAGCACTGTAAATCCAACAAATTCGAATGCATCTACCTCAACCGGTTCGACTGGATCAGTTAATTCATCTCGAACACGTAGCATATTTCGGTCGAAGACTTCATCATCGGCACGTCCGTCATCATCGTCGTCATTGGCCCAACAATCGTCCAGTACAAATTCAACTCCCATTAGATTCACAAATGCCAATCATATGTACAAATCCCTATCATCAGATCAAATACCCGAAAAATATCGAAATCGCCATGAAGTTGTGTTGTCACCCCAAGCGTCTACCAGTCGCGCCTCTGATTTGATTGAGTCGAAAAATGAATTCGAAGAACTACACACAATCGTTAGTTCACTTAGCAAAGAGAAAACTGAAACTAAAACAATCAATGACGCCGACGTAGATGCCAGTATGGTTAGTAACGAAGTTGATTCACTTTTGGAACAGTCACCAATCAAGTCACTGTCAAACTTAGTTTCTGGACCGATAAAAACATCTTCGTTGCAAAACATTCCGATGAATACACCGACTGCCAGCAACAAACTTACCTCATGCCCATGTAAATCAGTTGAGAGCAGTAGCAGCTCTTCATCTGGCTGTGATATAAATTGTCAATATTCGCGAACCCGTCATCAGGTACAGCATAAAAAGTACATAAATCACACCGAACTGAAAACAACCACCACCACCACTACCACCGCCACACGATCCTCAGCGCTACTCCATAAAACTCTGAACAATCCAATTGCAAAAGTAAAGTCAAGCGGATCTCAAGCCATTCAAAGTTCTGCTCAGGCAGCAACCGATGCATCAAATTTGCGTCGTTCGAAAAGTTCGGAGAGCATTTCACATGCTGAACAAGGAATTGCCAAAATGGTCACGGCAAAATCGTTGCAAAGTGAGCTCTCAGTTGATCAGCCCATAAATATAATTGACACCACTGCTGGCAATAGCCTCGATACGGTGTCCGATACTGAAGCATCACTCAATCTGACCAAAACTCTTCGGAAATTATCAAAAGAACTGTTCAGTAGTAAAGGTGATGCATCGGCCATAGCTATAAATGATGAAAAACGTACACGTTCAAATAATACACCAACCAATTCGAGTAGCGGATCTCATCAGAGTAGCGCTGTAGCTGGTTTTGGTTCAGGTGCTGTCATTGAATCGATGCGAAATCATGGACGAGGCATTTACTCTGGCACATTTTCGGGCACCCTCAACCCTGCTTTGCAGGATCGTTACGGTCGACCAAAACGCGATATTTCAACCGTTATTCATATCCTTAATGATTTGCTAAGCGCAACACCTCATTATAGTCGTGGTGCTCGAATCAGCTTTGAACCCGCTCATCACTCTCGCAAATATGTAAGTATTTCGATAGTCATTCATTTCATGGCTCATAAATAAGTAATACTAATTGATCTTTTGTTTCAATGTTTACAGTCGTCATCGTCGTCAAAGCGAATAAGCAGTACAAGTGCTGGCAGTGCTCAATCCCATCAGCAACGTTCGCATTGTTCCAAATGTACGATGTCATCTAGTAAATCTGGATGCAATGGTGAATGTATAAAAGCATCTCGCAGTACCAGTCGTCATATTTATGTTACCAATGACTCAGTTCAATCGTCAAAATCGGCATCGTTGCCATCGACACCCATTTCAACAAATAGATCAATTGATTGCCGTCAATGTCAAATGCCAATGAGCAGCTCAGCACCCGTTACGCCAGCAGTGTCACCAAATCAATCATTAAATAGTTCGACTAGTACATTAGACACATCAAATTCAAGCGCATTCGATTTCCGCAATTCAACCGGTTCGGATTTATCGTTGTCATCAACATTATCGCCGGCAAGCGGCCAAAGCGTCTCTACCCATCCGATTTGTACAAAATGCAGCAATATTGAAATTGAGAATAACAAAACAAAAACGAAATTGGATCAATTACGTTTAGTAATGCAGCAAAGACGTGAACGACGTGAAGCCCGAAAAATGCGCTCGACACCGTATGGTGGAATGACAAGAATTATCGGTGCGGCTGCAACAACAACTACTAGCACATCAGCCAATCCAAATGATGTGTCAAATGCGACCGTAATTCAGGCCACTGTTGAAGCCCCGCCAATTGAACAAGTCAATACACTTGCTTAAATCATCGTCTCACGATCTCATCCGCTTATAAAACAGCGAACATGCCCATATGTCAGGAATTGTAAATGATTTAAAGATAAAAAAATTTGAATTACATTTACTTTTGAATTTTAAAACAGTTCTATTATAAATTTAAACAAAAAATATATATAATAACAACACTTTAATACCAATTATTGCGAATGAAAATTTAACAATTAGGGAAGCGTCATGTGAAATGAATTGAAATGAAATGGAAAACAAATCAGACAAAACATTAAATCTAAAATCATATTGATAGAACGCTAATTAAGGTGTAATCGAATTAAGGAGAAAACAAACGTGAAAATGAAGCAAAATACTAGTTTTAGGCGAGTAAGAAGTGTTCTTTCGATTGATTAGAAGTACAATAAATCAACAAAACAAATGATACACAGTACATTTAAGCATTACCCAAAATATTTTGCCATGCATCCGTTGTTTTTTTTTTGTTATCACAATACTTTCAATACAAGTTTTGGTGTTATACTATCTCGGCCAACTACTAAAACAACTTCTATGCAAATAAACATTTGTTTTTCTTTCGAAGTAAATTGAAATGATTGAATTATTTTGATTAAATTGTTAATTCATTAAAATCAACTGGTACTAAAACACTTTTTTTCGGCAAAATATATCATGGTAAAGATGGAAAATATCTAAATGATTTATAATCGCTAAGCGAATAAAGTTTTGAAAGAAAATTAATTACAAATAAAAATAAATCTTTGAAAATTTACTGAGATATTTGAGAAAAAGTAGATTTCGAATCGTACAAAATTTATGACTATTTACAAGGCTTTTGAATTTTCATTTATTTACAAGAATAAAAGTTATCAAAAAATATTATATTGTTTGTCAAGAGCCTTTGGAATTTATTCAAAAATTCATACAAATCCAAATTATACATAAAAAATTATGAAACTTTTCTATTTACAAAAAAAAATTATTAATTTTTTTCTACATTCAGTTTTAACGAATATTTTCGTTTTTCTTATCCTTTTTTTTATTTCTGTGCATTAAGTTGTTCACTTGCTTCTATTTGTTTGAAAGTTTGATGGATTACAAAAGAAAGTTAAGAAAATATTAGGCATACTATCCATTTAGTTTTATTTTATGTTATTTTAATTGATCTTTTTTTTATTCAACGGGAACAGAATTGTATGAAAATGATTTGTGCACTGCGTACAAATTATCGCCTTGCATTTGTGTTCACAAAGTTATTAAACATTTAGCATTATTTTGTTAATTTAGTTTAATTATTATTATTATTATGATTGAAGTAATGGTGGACGATTAAGTAAATAAACGTGAACTGGTTTTCAGAAAATATTTGTATAGTAATTTTTTTTTTATTTTCATTACCAACTTTCGTTTATTATTTTACATAGAGACCTTTTTTTTATTTCAGCGTATTGATTCATTTGATTTCGGTTTTATTTTGGCCGTGATTTTCATGGATTCAATATTGCCTCATTCTTTATCGATAAGTGTATAAGGAAATCGTGTATATGCAGCAGCAACAGTAGTGGTAGCCGTAATTTTTATTTTTCAGTTAGGTTGCAAACCAACATTTTAATTGTGCAATTGTAGTTGTGCGTGGTGTGTATTATATCGTTGTATAATTGAATATGTTTCGTTGCTTTATTTTATGATTTGCTACAAAGTTAAGACAAAAGGAATAAGTCACCGACAAAGAGGAAAAAAACATACTACAAATTAGATTTTTATCTTAAGTGAAAAGTAATGGCGATTTCGTCTAGGTTGTAACTCATTAAAGATTTTGAATAAACTGAAATTGAAATCGTCGAAAATAACTTACAGTCTTTTAAAGTGACATTTTCAAACAATTGAAACAACATTGACTTTTTCTTTTCACAGATAAAAATAATTTATTTAAAATTCAATGTGGAAAACAAAAACGAAAAAAAAAATATTTTATACCCGAAGCCATCACGTTGTTTATAGACAAAAATCATTTTTTTGTGTATAAAATAGAATTAATTCACCGTATGAACATTTTATGAGCCAAATTCCTCTTTGCATTCATCAATTCGTCCAAATTCATAGCTTCCACGTCCATCGAATTGCAGATAGTATTCGTGGTACTTCCAAAGAGATTTTCGATGTGAGACTGTGAACAGTGTGATGCCTGACTTTTTGCACATTTCATACATATTTCCCTCAACATCCACAGAAACAGCGGACGTACATTCATCTAAAATAGCAAACTGTGGATTGTGATAGAATAGGCGAGCCATTGCAATACGTTGCTTTTCACCACCCGATAAAACGTCGATCCAATCTTCAACTGCGTCCAAACCACGTTCTCGTACTTGTAAGTATGGAAGTTGAACCAATTCCAAAAATCGCTGTAAATCAATATCAGAAAAACCACGTCGCTTCATTTCCTCATGTGTATGTGGATAGATAATTTGATCTCTCAGCGTGCCTAATGTCATGTACGGCCTATACAATTCATAAATGGTTAATGCCAATGTGAAAAGGAAGGAATGTAGAAGAGATACCTTTGAGGAATGTAGAAGAGTTTTCCGCGCGGCGGTTTTGTTATTTTTCCACCCCATGATGGCCAAAGTTCACCCAAAATTCGAAATAGAGATGATTTGCCACAACCGTTAGGCCCGCAGACTAGCACATTGCAACCCGATTTCACTTCGAACGATAATTCACGGACTAAAAAACAAAAACCAAAATTTACTACCATGAAGTACCGTTTTACTAATTTAAAAAAAACTGACCCAGAACATCTCCATTGGGTGTTACCAATGGTACTGATTCAAATTTAATAATATTGTCTTGGAATGCAATTATGCCTTTTCGTGGCGCTATGTCTGCATCAGCACTGCTTGAATTGCTAATCATTGAACGTTCGTAGCTGCCACTGTTTAAATCTTGCAGAACTTTCTTTAATTCGGTCATTCTAGCCGTGAATCCTGCCAATCGTGACAATTCTCTGCCAGCCAAAACCAGTCTTCCAAGTGCTTCTGCAAGCTTCAATAACATACGCCCATACGTGTAATAGTATGTTAACCGTTGTGCATCGTTTCCACCAAGCAGCGGATGATTTTTCGTGAAAAATGGAATTGATATGGTATAAAAACCAACAGCCGATGCAATATCTGGAATTATGAAATTTACAATTGATTAAAACTACTGTGCGCACACAAAACCATAATATATCCAACATACATTTGGCCAAAATGTTATCCACAAGTCCCATTCTGAAAAAAGGAAATGGAATAGAAAATTTAATATGATAAAAAAGCGTTTTACTAATTAAAAAACTGACCCAACTTTAAATTCCAAGAACTTTCTCAGGTGCTGTGTCAATTTTGAAAAACTTGCCAAAACTGTCAATTTTTCTCTGTTGTTTCCTTGATAGAAGGCAATCTATTTAAAAAAAAAATTGATTAGGAAACCATATTCAATCGTATCGTGAATTGAAATAAACTTACTTCCTCTGAATTGGTAATCAATCTCGAATTGACATATCTGAAATCACCTGGTGGGGAAGAATGAGATAAGAAAAAAATGAAAATTAATCAAAAGAATGAATAGCAATTCTTTAAAAATGAACTGTGAAGTACCCTCTAATTTTTGCTCTTGTACCGTTAGCCTGCCCGTTGGTTTTCTCAAATGCGTTAAGAGGACGCCGGACAAAAACAGATAGAGCAGGAGAATTGATGGTGTCTGATTGAAAGGCAAAACAATGAATCAATATTTGATATTCAGTAAATATTTTCCCGAAAATACCTTTGCGCCAATATTTGTAGTCAGACGATACATATAAATAATAATATCAAGAACTGGTTTGCTTGCATTTGAGTAAAAATCCGCAACACTTTCGCAGAACTTGTCAATGTCATTGGTGAGCAGTTGATCAGCATTGGAGATTCTATTGTCCAAATTACTCATTTTGTAGAACGTGAAACCCTTTAAATATTGATTGTACATGTGTTTCGATAAATTGATTCGGAAACTTATTTTAAGTTCACCTATACTCCATCGAAGAACATTATTTACGACTGATATCTACATTGAATATAAAAAAAATATATTTGATTTCATGCGAATTTCAATTTCTATGTGTCATACCAGAGGTAAGGCTTTAATAAAATTAAACTTTTACCAGAGGTAAGGCCTCTTAATTTATATTTATATATTATTTTTAATTTTTAATTAATACCAGAGGTAAGGCCATGCAATATTTGAATAGTGTGTTTAGGAATTTCCGGCGATCCATTTGAATTATAGTACTTTCAATAATCGTTACATTTTGTATCATCCAAATGTCGCTAGCTGACCGAGCTATTAAAGAGGCCGCAATTAGAAGAAGTAACATGCTTTCTTTGCTCCATGCTCCTGGGATGATTATTCCTAATGCAGAAAAAAATATCAATAATTTTTGAGTAAAATACTTGGATTAAGCCGCCTGATTTACAACTGACCGCTGCAAATCGCTTAGGCGTTTTACGAATCAACAAAAATCGCACGGGCAGTCCTTGAGTCGTATATTTGTTTACAATAAAAATTCAATATATGGCTTTCGTAATTGTGAATTTTGTACCAAAAACATACTCAGAGAGACAAAATCTTGGGCCGTTTGGGCAGCGAGTGAAAAGGAAGAGGAGGGGGTAATTGAGTAAATAAAGTTGAGTAAATTTACGTAAAAAGGTGCTCGCAACATTGTTTTTTTTTTTAATGAATTGGGTTGCTTGCCCAGTTGCGAGTATAATCAATGGATTGTATGTTTTGTGCTCAAATTAATGCACCGACCTTGAACATTTTTCCTCTTGAATTTCGAATTATCATATACAAATGATTATGAAACCTATTCAATAGCGAATAAATAGATATTCCATTCTCATAATACGAACCCAAATGTCATTTCAAAGTAAATTATAAAAATCTCATTTCTTTGTAGTTATTATGAAATTAATAATTTAGCGATTTTCATTATTTTCTAAACAATATGGCCATTAAGAGACAGATTGTTATTGAAGTATAAATGATTTTATTCGTCATGACGTATTCTCAATGAGAAACATTTCAAAGTGGTTAAATTGGATTGGTCGGAAATTACAAAGTTTTTTTTTAGTATAGACAAATCATCAGATGATTTCCAATTTATTCATTCTTATGAATAATTCTTGTAAATTGTTAAATCAGCAAGATGAACTGAAACATTTGCCATCAACTTTAAAAGTGTTAAGCATATAGCAAAACAAGTTTCCTTTCGCTACAGCTTTGGTTATCATATATTCATCCGTTGTTATTAGCATTCGTTCGTTTTCGTTATGGAAAGTCATCGTTGTCGTTGATTTAGCGGTCTGACAATATACGTCATAATCGATATCAAGCACATCAAAATACAGCCGATTCGCAACGTTTGGAAATGATTTAATTGTAGGCTCCAATTTTGTTCTTGTAAGCAAATTGTTTATGACTTATCATTCTTTTTTAATTTGAATCAGTGCAATACATGACGTTGAAATGTTGGCGTGATTTTTTTGCTTATTTTTATTTATTTAACAAGTCACATTGAAACTCAATCACCAGCTATAAATAAAGGAGTATTGCTTCGATCAACGATTGAAATGATTAGTACTTTTGTCGTTGCACTATATGAAGAGATAATAAGCACATTGAGTGTGTGAAAATACACAGTTGAACATGTAAAATGTACAAAATGTTTAAAATTGCTATAACCCAGAATATAGAATGGGGTTCTATTGTGAGTGAAAAGAACATTTGTTTCAAACATTGAGAAAGAATACACTTTAACAAAGGATAGAATTTTATGTTTGGTTTTACATTTTTATAATACGTGTTTGGTGTTTTAAATAAATTCCCATGTATTTTACCATCAATTTTACATTGACGTCAAAATGACTTTTTCTGAAACTTTTTTTTTTTAATTTCATGCCATAAATGACACAGGATCGTCGCTGAATATTTTATGGTGCACCTTTTAAAATTTAACGAAATTTTATCAAAGGTTCATTATCTTGTTTTGTATCTGCACTCAGTTTTATTTGTCAAGCTCGAGCATGATAGCAGATTATTGCTTCAACAATTTCATTGTATTTCAAAGAAAATCGAAAAGTTTCAATACATACGTATTTAGATGATTTCACTGTTTTATGAATTAATTTACGAGAAATAGATTGTCGACACTTTGACTTGCGAAAAAAAGTTGTAGACTAAAATAATTTATTCGCAAATATGTTAAATTACACATTGGCCGGTATAAAAAATATAATATAATTCATTTATAAAGAATTCGAATATTGCGAATCAAAGGGCAATTATGCTGTATTTATACTTTAACACACTATTTCTGTTGAGTGCATATATTATACTCGACTCATTAAGACTCTAAAACCTATTTACTCAATACTCATATTCGTTAATTTTTTTTCCAATTCTTTAGTCTGTAAAAGCAACTGACTAGCCTATAAATAATTTAAAAGTCATTACAGTAGCCATTTATGCTGAATATGAAAGTGTATTGCCGGAATTAGCCATGAATTATCTTTTAATTTTGAGTAAGTCACAAGTAGATAATATTTTTTAGCACAGTTTTGTTTTACATGTCTTACTTCGTCTGTTAATAATGACAGCCAATTTTTTTTGTATACCACCGCTATAATAATTTACAAAAAAATATACAAATAAATCTTGGGAATGAAAAATATCGGTAGAAAACGTCGTACCAACTACACTTTCGGTGAATGTATTTTTTCGTTATGTTTAAATAGTGGTCGGAGATCTATTACTGTGCAAAAATTGTGTTGAAACTATGTTAATCTTCGACATTCACCGCCACCTTTTTTTCGCATTCAAACACTCCACTTTACTTTTGTGTGCTTTAAAATGGACACTGTAGTAATGACCCAACTTACGTAAAAGTTCACGCAGTTGCCGAAAGAAAATCGAATTCACGTGTGCTTTTGCAATTCGTTTATCCTTCTTTTCCGATATTGTGTACTGAATTTGATCCTCCGGTTGTGATTTCCTGCAAATATATCAACATGGTTTAGTCAAAAAGTTGAAAAGATCGTTTACAAGGAAGATGTTAAATGAGAAATAATTTTCAAAAAAAAAAATCAGCTGTTCGACTAAAATAATTGGACAAGTTGATAGACTTTTTGGAATTCTTATGTAAATAAACAAAAAAAAAATACCATTTAACTGGTTATATAAACCTTTGCACACCATTTTCAAATTGTCTTAATGAGCGAAGTGTTTATTCAACTCTGTGATGCCATTGGGCATGAATTGCGACGCCCCAGTTCATTCACTAATAAATAATCAAACAGTCGACTGATGAATAATCCACAGTCCAGTCGCAATAACACACTGCTACAATAGTAACTTTCCATTCCGGCTCTGAACGAGCATCGACAAGACTTTCTTCAAGATGATCGCCATTTGATGGAATTAAAATATGCATAACGATGAGTCAGCATATGAACATATTTTATTTGGATTCATTGGTAATCGAAAGTATTTGGTATATTAAAAACATTTTCGATTTGTCTAAGCATGGGTCATTTTGTTTTAATTGATGATTAGCAAATAGCAAGTCATTGGTCGTTACAATTTAATATAATGTTCATCGTGTTAAATACTATAAACATTCAGATTCTATGCAAAATGGAAAAGTAAACATTTAAACAGTATTCACCTTTGTTTGTACTGAACGCATGTATAAAATATAAGAAGTTCACTAAGTTGATCACATACATCTAGTAGAGCGAATTAAATTTATAGAACGAAAATAAGAAATCGAATATTGTTTCGAATATAGTCCAAGCAAAATGTTTACAATATTGTTGTACTGTTTTTGAATTCAAATTGCACGGTTATGAAAATGACTGTAGTTCGTGCTTCATCGTGATAGTGTGGGTGCGTGTTTGTTAACAGGTCTATTGTCATTACCATTTGAAAACAGTAGTCATTTATAAAACTCAGTATAAACTTTAATTGGACGTTCATGTGCATTTATATATATGTATAGATAGTGAAACTCACAATTTTCTATTCGTTTTGCCATAAATGATAATCCAGGCCGCTGCCGACAGTCCTGATAAGCAGATTAAACTGCTTTGGTATTGTTTAAGTTTACTCAGTGTTGGTGCCATTGCTACAATTTCAATTACTTATTCGTTTCTTTAACGCCAATTTTGCACTATATTTTGGACAATTGCAATGAAAATACTTCAGCTGATTTACACGGATCAGAGGTTAATAGGCAATCTTGCCAAATTTATAAATTTCTTTATTTATCACCTTTGATTAGTGCTTTTTTTTGCTTCTCAATATGCACGTGTTTTTTTTTTTTTTTCAAAAATAGTTCAATGTCGTTGACGTTCAATCGATACTTTTGCTGTGAGCTCAATACAATTTCATGTATAACGCTTTTGTTCATGAGTTTTTGTTGTTGTTTTTTTGGTCAACATTCTTAATTGAACTTTAATACTGGAAATCAAAATACACACTTTGGGATTTTAACTAAGCCAACCAAATCGAATTGAAGAAAGTTTCAATTTCTTTGTGATATATCGCTAGAATTTTCTTCACATCAGTTTCACTTTTTACAAAGTAAATAAAATTGAACGAAAAGGCGATCACACTGTCGCTTTGTGAATAACTACACTGACAATTAAGCAGAACGTAAGGCAAAAGCTACCGATGATATAAAGCGTAACAAATGCGATGAATTATTTTAAGCGATACTTCTGCAGATGCGCAGCGCACGGTATGACATTTTATTCGCGAATGACTATCGTACGATAAACTAGCAGCAATAAAGCGTTCGTACTCATTCAAAGTGTATGCTTGTGTGTTTACAAGCGTGTAGCATTAAATTGGACAGTCTATGTATTGGTATGTGAATGTTGGTGTCTTTGTGCATAACATATGGATAGTACTTGGGTGCTATTGTATACATAGATTAAACGTCATACATGCTTACAGCGAATGTCTCGAATACAAATTTACCATAAACACAAACCATGCCGCAAAATAGAATGTTTATTTATACTTTTATTAAAATTTGAACATGTTAGAAATCAAATGTTGACAATAACAATATTTTAGTAAATGCGATAATTTTGGAATGATAGAAAATCATTTTATTTTTGTTTCAATTCATCCATGTATGCGCCGGTCATAAGATCGGATTCGCCAATTTCAAACTTGTTTATTAGATCATTGGCGATTTGGGTTCCGTCTTCAATTGTTTGTTCTGGTCGCAAACAAACTTCAAACTCCAAGAATGTGCCCAAACCTTCAACTTTGTCCAAATGAATACGAGTTTGGTCCAACAAAAATAGATATCGAGACTTTTTTACTTCACCAATCACCCCGACACTATTAGACAGCATGCGGTCCAATTTATCGGCATCCTCAACCGCAAGCACATCAAATTCGGATAGTTTTGGGCCGGAAACATCTGGTCTGGCATATTGAATTAGCATTGCCTTGCCATTCTGAAAGATAATTTATATCGTCTTTTAAAATTGAATATCGCTACATCTACGCTCAATACTGTCAATTCCTACCTCCGTTCGTAATTTTAATCGGCCACTACATACTTTATAAAATACATCACGTTGGCTTAATATTTCGCCATTGGTGTTTGTTAATTTTTTAGCGGTTTCAACTCGACGTTCAAATTCTGCATCATTCGCGATACGAGCTTTGATTTCAATATTTCGTTTTGACATTTTGCAAAAATTTCTGCGAAAAATTAGTGATCTGAACATAAAAATGGTCTGATTTTCTTCATTAAAAGTGTAAAGAATAAAAAATGTTTGTTTATCTTACTAATTGTTGAATATTTAACCTGCGTGTGTACCGGCAATATGAGCGCTTGTGTCATAGCTGCATCGTGCCAATAATTATGACTTTTGTTTGACGTTTAATCAGATAAGATGGTTATGTTTGGGTTTGTTGTACATCGTTTTATAGCGATTAGTTCAAATAAGAAGTATTTGTCTTGCATGGTAAAAATTGTTTTTTTGTTTATTTAAATTTTCCAATGAAAATAGTGCATCTCTCACATAAACATTTTCTTAGTTCATTTTTATCAATCAGCTATTTCAAAAATATTTTAGCGTCTTTGAGCGAGTATATTATGATGTATTGTTATCTTTGAATAAAAAAATATCAAATGTATGACAAAATTCCAATTTTTATGATATTCACTGAGCAATTCCCAATGAAATACTCATAATACAATTTTAGTTAACAAATGATTGGAATGCATTGTTTTTTTTTTTCAATTCGTTCAATGCGAAGCTAAGCTATTTTGTGTATTGAGGGAAAAAAAAGAGGAAAAAGCCTACTTCGTGGTTTAAACTTATTTCTAACAATGGTGCCTTATTAGTTTGTTTGCCGTTGTCTCCATGTTTCCTTTGTTAACATTTTGGCTTCTTGATTTCAAAATGAGAAATAAAGTATTAAATGTAATAAACATAACTAAATACTAACAAAAAAAATCTCATAGGTACCGAAACGAGAAAAAATCACACTCATTTCATATAATTGAATAATTCATTTCATTTGCCTAAAAAATATGAAGACCAAAAATCTTGCTTTAAGCTATTGTATATCGTTCACAATTCAATTGGAATGATATTGCAGTGTACCTTAAAATATTTGAAGAAAATAAAGATAATTTCAAACGTAAAAAATAAATAGATACTTAATTTTCTAATCACGAAGCTTCGAATGCGTTTAGCTAGTTGAATTTTAGCGTTGTAAATGTTTTTTTTTTTTGCACAATAGTTTGTAAACTGAATGGAATTATTTTTTTGTTTTATTTTCACAAGCGATAAGATTTGCACGAATAAATGATTAAAAATGCCCTTGATCAGATGACGTTTATTCAGATGGTGTGAGATCCTTTTCCGGTTCGTTTTCATTGAGAATTTGAGAAAGCAGATCGTAGATCGGTTCGAATACTTTTTTATAGCCAGTATTCGTTAGATTTAAATAGTCGAACATGTCATGGTGGCTTATTGTTCCATCAGCCTGTACCAGTCCTTTGTCGATTTGTACAGTTTGCACTTTGTCCTCTCGGTTTGTCGAATACTTTTCGGCAATCAATTTATTCACTTGTTGATTTTTTTCGCGAAGTCTATTTGGTTGTTGACCACGAGGTAGAAGCGTCTAAATGGAATTTTAAATAAGTCATTTCATTTAAAAGTATTATTAATATTAATACGAGAACAAATCATTTACCGGTAAAACAATGTAGGCATCAGGTAGTTTTTCTCGAATATTTTTAACAATTTCAAATATTCCTTCCGCCACTTCTTCAGCGGTGTTAGTGATATTGTTCGTCCCGACCAATAAAACAACGATCTAGCAAACGAAAACCAAAATTCAGTACAATATTAAATTTCCTCGTCAACATTAACCAACATTGAATCTTACTTTTGGTTTGACATTATCAAGTGCACCATTTTGAATACGCCAAAGGGTATTTTGTGTTTCATCTGAATAAATGCTAAAATTCAACGAATGCATTGGGGCAAAATACTGATTCCAACTTGCAGTGTGTTGAAGAGTTTCTAAAACACAATCTCCAATAAATATGACCTCCGCATCCTTTTCTCGACATTCACTCAAAAACCGTTTATGCTGGTAATTTTTTTTTAAAAGCAAACAAACATACAACAAAATATAATTTTCAATAGATTTTAGAAACAAAATGTGAGTGAGATGCAAAGTTGAATTTGAGTCGCTTACAATGCTTATCCATCGGTCATCTTCCGATGAAATTGGTACAGGTACTGTTGTAGAGCTCATATCTAATCAAATTTATTTGGAATAAGTCTACAAATGTTATTTACTATTAATGTATGAATTCAAGTTGTATGGGTTTGTTATTCTGATGAAGTTCTTATTGGAAGAAATCTGTCGTTTTGAAATTATCGATACGAATCGCCCAAGGAACTTCTAACCGGCTTTAAAAGTACTCAATTCCAATTAATCGGCCACTATACTAACCGTAAAGTTTGAATGCAATAATACAAATCGATATACAAAAAAGGCGTTTCGAAAAGAAAAAATTCAATATTTTACACGCGTCGCTGTAATTGAGATTCTTTTTTTGGTTTGGCTGCTATAATAATTAATGTAGCTGTCAAACAAAATTCGTCTGACATATTGACATTGTTGTTCTGTCGAACATGCGGTAGGTGGCGTCTTTACCAACAAAATATTTGTTTAAAATCTTCATTTTCTAATTATTTTGAACAATTTAAATTTACAATTAAATGAGAGATAAACATTGAAAATGATGCTATTATGGAGACTACCAATTATTATTGCTTTGAATGTTTAAAACATTGTATTTTATTGCGAAGGTATTAAACGCATTCATTTCGTCTCATTATCGATACCAAACATTTCTGCCAACTTAATGTATTAGAATGTATGCATAGACAATGCGAAAAAGTCGCCATTCATTTGCCGCACAAAGTAGAACACAACCAACGAAACTGTAGCAAGTTTCAGTCACATTATTAACTGTTATTATTGACAAATCAACTCTTGCTATAGATTATATAGTAGAGATATTGTGAGTTCTATACTATTAATTGATTGGTGATACAAACTGATAAATAAATATAAACTTTGTTTTAGTTCTGGAGAGTCACAACTGTCGCAAGTGTATTGATATTGTATTATCATTAATTTTCGTCCAAAATCTTCAAATTCAAATGATTTCGAATCAGCTAATTTTCACCTAGCTCCTTATTTTGATATTTTGATCACGAATCGCATCAATTTATCGCCATCAAAATGGATGTGATGTCCCGGATTCGAGAACTCTTGGGGAAAAAAACACAGAAACGAAAGTAAGTACCAAACAATTGCATGTATTCTCGTTTAAATTTCAATCTCAATCGAATACAAGTGGCCAAAAGATTGGAAATATGTTTGAGCTCATTTGTTTATGAAGAATTCAGTCGTTTTTATAAAACCATCAGTAAAAGAAACCATGCGAATTGCTTGTCATTCGATTGGGATGCCATCATTGTAAAGCGCGCTAAAGGTGGAACACAGTACAAGCAACGCCAATACATACACATCATCGAATAGAAAACAAGTACATACATGTACAGAACAACATTTTGACAACTTCGTAGAAATCGTGTGCAATAGTATTTGCGTCGAAGCGATGTCAAACTGAAAACAAATTTTCTTCCTTCAAACAGAAATTAAAAAGTCAATTTTAGTGATATGAATTTCTTATTTTTTTTTTCTTCTTTTCATTGAAATAAATTAATTGTTTAGGTCATCGTTTGAACAAATAGATAATTGCAAAAAAATTCGGATGTCAGAATTAAATGGTGATGATTATGAAGGTGATCTACATAACATTGGCAGTGAGTAAAATTGAATCTATTTTAAGTGCGCATCGAAATTTTATTATTTCATATTTTTATCGATATTTTTCAGGTAGAATTCAATATGACACACCGGCATCGACAAGAAACCACATGCGACGATCAGGTGCGTATTCAATTAAAATTAATGTTGTATGAAAAAAAATAAAATTTTTATTGATTTTTTTCCTCGTTTTTTTTTTTTTAAATAGAGTCGTTTGCACAAAAAAATGCAAAAATGGGCTTCTTAAACTCAGCAATGTATTCTAGAAGCCAGACAAATGATCGAAGTGCACCCAATTTCAATTACAATTACGGCAATATGGATGGCAAATTCAAACAGCCATTGGCACCGTTAACCAATGGATCGAAGAAACTTCCGGCTCTGCTGTCGGCTTCAAATTGTTCGCTCAACTTCAATAAGCCACAGCAAACCATCAATCCACATTTCAGTAAATATGGAGAGTTGAGCGAACTCTCTAATTTCAAAAGTGTTCCTGACTTGTATCCCATTAACCGAACAAACGCAAATGCGTCGCAATCCACGAGTGGTGGTCTACTTAATGGACATGAACATTCGTCGATGTTTCTATCATCAAAATATGGTAGCCAATTAAATCCCTCCAGTCAATCTATGCTGAACAATTCGAATTTTGGTTCGACTCACAGCAGTATCCTTGGAAACAGCAAATATTTCAACAACAATTCCAGCACCAAACCATTAGGTTTGAAAGGAAGTTCTCTTTATTCTAACGTAAGTTAATCATTTATGAATATAAAAATTTGTTTTAAATATGCTGATCCAAATGAACAATTGACAGAGCGGACAAATGATCCCACCATCGAACTTAAGTCGATCAAGATATAAATCGTTATTGGAGATGATTCCTGGTTTTAGCTATCTGAAAAAATGTAAGTTTCTTTTAATATTCGATTCAATTAAGATAGAAATGTTGATAAATTTTTATAGTTGCATTTTCTTTTCTTTTCGATTCTTGTTTCGATACAAACAACTAAACAGTAATTCCTCTAGTAATCCCTTTTCTATTTTCTTCAGCTAAAAATAATGCAGTTAATGATTCAAGTAAGTGCAACGAAAATTAATTTACTTTTCGCAAGGGGAATGTCACAAAAAACGTACTACAATTATATCATTCGGAATAGGTCTAAATAGGTTGGAATAGTTTGGAATTAGTGGTAATGTAAATGTCAACAAATACGCCGATATGGTGACAGAAAAATTGAGTTTTTAATTCAGTCAGAAATATTTCAATATTTTTGTGAATATACTTTTTGTTGTAAATGTTTAATATATTTATTTAAATTATATAAAAAAATATATTCACAAAAATATTTAAATGTTTCTGACTGAATTGAAAACTCAATGTTTCTGTCACCATATCGGCGTATTTGTTGACATTTACGCTGCCTCAAACTATTTCAACCTATTACGACCTATTCCGAATTATATCATTCTAGTACGTTCTTTGTGACATTCCCCTTGACTTTTCGACTTAAAAAGACTGAATATTTTTTCCGACCACAAAATTACTTGAAATTTTTGAAATAGGATCAGTTTTAGTTTTTCTTCCAGAAAAATGCTCATTTTTCATAACAGACGTAATAATTACATTTTTTGTTATTTAGGTGCACAAGGAATCATTGACTTATCTGATGAGCAAGATGTGCGAGAAAACAAAACAACCAACTCATCTTCATCACTTCCGTAAGTATTTCAGAGCACTGAAATTATTTATGCTAAAAGACAATTAGAGCCATTATGGAAATTATCTTTATTTACCATTATTTTAGAAATGTGGATCGTGTAAATTCATTGAAAACGCGATTGGAAACGAAGGAAGTGTTTGGAGAAAAGTGGGAAACAGCACTGAACGAAAAATACTCATCCAAACAATTAAGTCGGCGAGATTCTCTACAACAAGTACAAGAAGAGTAAGCGAAATAAAAATACTGTGACTCAAGGTCAAAATGAATAATAATTATATTTTCATTGTTTTGCACAGAAACGAAGAATGTGAACGAAAGACTCGCGAAACTGAAGAAAGGCTGAAGGAATCTTTCAAGAAAATTACAATCTCATCGATCATTTATGACGAAGAAGAGGAAGAAGAACCAGTCAATGATTATCCACCTTTAGATGACGAGAAAGTGCGAAGAGTCCATCAATTGATCAGTGGAAGAGACAGTGGAACCGTGTTGATATCCAAGTTTAATTTGTCGGTGACGCGCCATGATATACAAACTTTGCAGTGGAATCCACTGACTTGGCTTAACGATGAGGTGATTAATTTTTACATGGAATTACTGGCTGAACGTAGCCGAAATAACGACAAATTGCCAAAGGTTCACGGAATGAACACATTCTTCTTGAAACGTTTGCTTGAGAATGGATACTCGGGCGTTCGGCGATGGACCCGAAAAGTTGACATTTTTGCTCATGACGTAATTCCAGTTCCAGTTCACAAGGGCATTCACTGGTGTATGGCTATTATTCATTTGAAAAATAAGACTATCAAGTACTATGATTCAATGGGAGCGCCAAACAATCAAGTGTTGTCCGCATTATTTGAATATTTGAAAGCTGAGAGTCTGGACAAAAAGAAAGTCGATTTGGATATGACCGGGTGGAAAACTGAAAATGTACGAAATATTCCGCAACAGGAAAATGGTAGCGATTGTGGCGTATTTAGCTGTATGTACGCGGAATTTGTAACACGAAATCGGCCCATTGTCTTCACTCAGCAACACATGCAATACTTCAGAATGAAAATGGTGCATGAAATTTGCGCTGGCCAAATGTTGAATTAGCAACTCCCATCAATTGACACTAATTCCATTCGATTTATTCCTATGTAATGTAAAAGTTTTGTTAAAACTACAACTGTTTCGAAATCAAATATTCAAACGAAAAACGGTGTAGTCCGATGATAAAATAGATGTGTTAACGTCTGCAATTTAAATGAAAAGAGAACTAAAAAATAAATTTACGTTAAATCATGTGAATAAATACCATTTTTTTAGAAAACAAACACATAAAAAAACATAAATTCATTGTTATTTGATATGAAATTTATTTTTTTATTTCTGAATAAACATGAAATCTTTTGTAGTGTTCGGTGCAACGCTTATTAACTATACAAAAATATTATAATAATCAAAGACGTGCTGTTTTCACTTTTTCCAATCCCTGTTCTGCGCTCTCATTTATTTGATTGACAAGTTTTGTTATAATATCCACACTCAACTCAGGTAAAATCTCATTCGTTTTGTGTACACCATTTGCGTACACTTTTAGATCAAATGCATTCGTTATTTTAATGGCCACTGAACAGTTCATTTTAATGGCATCAAACATTGTAAATGCAATGTATCGACGTCGATCTGGATCTCTATGAATACCCCAATTTTCGTTCGGAAGCACGACCTCATAAATATCGTCATAGACTGCATCAAAAATCTGACGTTTTTCCTCAATTAGATTATTGGTTGAATCTGCGCCGCCATTTTTTATACCAATCGTCTTTTGATCGTTTTCAACTTCGATGTTGTCTTCCTCAAATCTTATTGCAGTGTCACATTCATCATCTTCATTGTGCTGAATATTTGTAACCTAAATATAAATTGAAAACATACTCTGTTATTTAGATATCATGCGGCTACTTAGATAAATTAGTTGAATTTTGTGCACCTTATCCGTTTGATCGGAGTTTGTGTTGTTTTGTTTTCGTCTTTTGGGCTCTGGTTTCAGTTTGGCTGCACGTTTTTTGTTTGTTGTTATTGCTATAATTTCTGTTTCAGGTAAATTGAGATATGGAACGGCACTTGATTTGATCTTTGGCTTTTCACGTTCTAGTTCACAGACTTTTCCATCTGAAATAATGAAAATATATATGATTTGTTTTCGCAGTACGATGTAGTTTCTTAACGCACCTATTATATGTTGCCAATGGGTCAATATTTGCGTTTTGTCGAAATGACGCTCACACACACGATCCGTTTCTCGAAATTCCCGTTTATTGAACAATCGATTCTTCCAGCTCTCAAAATTGTCCTGTTCAAAGATTTATTGAAACATTAAAATAATCGCACAAACCCATGCAAATTTTCAATAGAGCGAATAAATACTTTTGGTGCAGAAAACATCATCCGTTTTAAAATTCCATTTTTTTTACAAAAAGCGTCACAATGTGGGACGAAACAGTTCCTCATCTTATTCAACAAAATATATGAATGTTCAGTAATTAAATTCACTTTAAACTTAAAAATCGGTTGATTCCTGCACTGCTTGTTTTGTATACAATCACAATTTGACAAGTAAAATGTTATGGCTTGAAAATGTCACATAGATGACAACATCGGCGACATCTATTGACAATGAATTCGATTTGTTTTATGATTTTCATATTGAACGTTCAATTCAACTGATATGATTCACACTAAACTACAATTTCAAATACATAAATATGATTAAGATTATGAATTTTAAGATATTTTAGAGAGAACAACATAAAGAATGTTGCTGAGTTTGAAGATGGTCGAACCAATATTTTGAATGAAGCAGCAAATTTGGATTTCGAAAACTATATGAACTAATAATGATTTTGAAATTATGTTCATTCGCACATTATTTCGCTGAAAGTTTATTTTCTATTGAAGTTTGATGATGTAAAAATGAAATAATGCAAACGTATAGGATACATACATTAATGATCCTTTTGTTTTCGCAAATAGTAAACGCGCCAAATTGCCCCTAAAGCGAATTCACATTTCATGGTAACACACAGCAGTGAATTGTTTATTTCTTTTTATTGGCAGCACTGAGGGTCGCATATTTCGGTTTAAAAAAAAGAAAAACAACGGCTGTCACTCATGGCTTTTTAACTAATCATCGATAATCAATAGCAAATATTTTTGAATTGCGATTTAACAAATAAATAGCGATCTAGATTTGCTATATTATATGACAATAATTAAAGGGAACATTTGATTATAAAATATTGACGTTACAACAAAGTAAATTATGAATTCACGATTTAAATTTGTGCAAAGCGTGAACCCACAGCCGATTCCAACAAACACAATTAGACCAAGTAAATGGCATAACATAAATAAATGTATTCGAAAAATTTTGATTTTAAAAATATAAATTTTCAGAATTCAGTAAGCTGACATTGGCAACGACAAAATTTGTGGCAGTTGAATCGATCAATACACAAAAAGATAGTAACATTCAATCTACACAAAAAGTTACATGTACTACAACAACAAGAACCACAATGACGAATGTATTAAACGATCCACCCGTTGAAGATGACAATGAAGAATTATCATGCGCACAGAAACCAAAAATTCTGCTCTATGATTCCACGCAGGAAGATAATCAATCCGATATTTTAACGGATGATGACACTGATTCAGTGGGTAGTTCAATTGATAGCAAAGAGATTGAAGAGGACTTGAAAGAAATTTCACAGCCAACGACACAAGGCACTGTCGCCAAAATTGATAATCTAGAGACCCAAATGCAGAATTTGAGCTTTTTACCACCATCCAACTCAGGTAATTTGAGTATTAAAAGCGATGAAAATCTTCAGAATATGTCACGACAATTTGATCAACTTGATTTGCAACACGACAATGCGAACAAAGATACCGAGGAGAAAAACACAAAAGATGACAATAGTTTGCTATCTGGTTCAGTTCAAACATTGAGTAGCACTGACACATTGGAACAAGAACCGATTTCATTCGAACAAAGTCAAGAGAAAAATGCATCCGACGATGTGATTGTTCTTTCGGATACGGATTGCGAAGATAATGGAAGTCAAAATGAACCATCAAAACGGAACATTTCACAAGAACCACCATTAAAACCAACTTCTGCAAGTAGCAACAACGGTATCTTGTACAATATATCGTCCATTGATAGTTCAGCGATGGAAAAAGTAAATCAATTCTTCAATGAGGCACCATTTATTCCGCCCACCGACAGTTCATTTTCTTCAAGTCACACCTCGAAATCAACGCAGGAAGATGTTTTTGTACCCGAAACAACGGATGAAGAAAGCATTGATGATGAGGTCATTGAGTCAAGCATTGTTGGCAATGATGCTGTTGGTTACAATGACGGCGAAAATGAACAAAATGAACGAAAAGAACCTGACCGCAAAGAGCAAATCAACGAAAATACTGATCAAAACAAATTCAATTTCTCTGATAATAATATTGTTTTTGACATTCCGGTAATCAAAAGTACAAGCGATCAGCCAAAACAATTGATTCGGTCGCAAAGTGGTGGAGTTCGTCTAACCGCCTCACGTTCGTCACCAATAATCAAAACTACAATTGATTCTGATTGCATTAAGCGAACATCAAGCAATGTCATTCTTAAAACACCCACTTCAATCAGAGTTAATTCGGCCAACGGACAATCAATTAATATTGCAGCGAAAATTAACATCAACTTTGACATTCAAATCGTAGAAGATTCGAGTGAGGAATCTAGTGAGGACAACAAACCACCAAGAAAATCGGAAGCAATTCAATCGAGTGAAGACTGCCAACGCAACTCAGATGGCTACCAAAGTGCCAACTCAAATCACACAGATGACAGCAGCGCAAAACTTACATCATCGAAAAGCCCAAAGAGAGATTTGAAAAATGCAAAAACACCACCCAGAAATAGTAGAGTTGATGATGTGAACACTCAAACGAAGACTCCAACAACAGCAAGCAAAATTAAACAATTTGCATTCGTGCCCCCAAAGAGCATGACGAAGTACAAGAAAACCGATAGATCCGAAGCAAATCAAAACACTAAATCTGAACGCATGAACAAATCAATTGATTCCGAAAAATCTGAAATGGATGACGGCTTTCAAGTTGATAAAAATATTCCAATAAATGCACGCGATCAAAAGTTATTGGTAAGATTGATAGGATCTGAAATAAAGCATTGGATGGAAATTTAAAATTCTTTTAATTACATGTAGCATAAGGTTTATGGTAATGCATGGAAAACACCAGAAGTCATTCGAAGCTATTCTTCTGTGAAGGGAAAACCCGATGAGAGAACAGCAGTAAATACAACTCCTTCTGTATTCAAAGACAGTCGACAAAGCAAAGGATTTGATCTTTGTAAGAAGAATTTATTTCCAAAAAGATTGTTATTTTTTAAATCATAATGCTTTTTTCTAACCACAGTTAAACAAAAGATTAAAACAAACTTAAATTCAACTCGATTTGACGACCACGCTGAAATCAGTAACATCGAAACTCCAGAGCGGATAAAGAGAGTGATGAAGTCAAAAACAGATACACCACGACCAAAGTTAAAACCATCAGTCAGCGCTAAAAAGACTGAAATAGAGCCCTCGCCGTCTGTTCTTACAAAAAAAAAGCCATCACCAAAATCGACAAAGAAAAAATCAGCTATTAAATCAGTTGCTGCTGATGATCATGAGGAGATGTCGATTATAACGCCACGACCGCGCAGAAATGTTGTTCGAAAGCCCATTTTCGATTCAGAAGATGAAAGCAACAAAGAAAATGAAACAGATTATAGCAGCGACGATTTTTCTGACACAAACTATCTAACCAACGACGACACCGATGACAGCAATGCAGAAACGGAGAGTATTCCGAAGCCAAGAAGCGTGCGTGGTAAAAATGGAACTGGTGTGAGTGCTACAAAGCGCCCAGAAAAGAAGACTTCAAAAAATGACTTGATATACTTGGATCTGTCGTCAGAAGAAGTAGCAACAGTCGACGAAAACTATCATAACGTACCAGAAGACGATTTGGCTAATATTACAAGAAAATTCCTTGAGACTGACCTGAATGATGAAGAGTAAGTTTATCTATTCTTACAATGTTTGAAAAAGACTTCATTTTTTATGCATTTACTGTAGAAAACCGAAGAAAAAGATTGGACGAAAACTCTTCACTCATAACTACGATGACATTGACGAGGAACCAACCATTGAAAGTGAACCGAGATCCATCAGAAAGAAACCCCTTGAAGAACCTAGTTTGAATATTGAAATTCCAAGATTCACACACAAATTATTTGATTCAAAGACATTTGGTTCGCCGTCAATAAACAAAACACCGAAAACGGATTTGAAAAAAGACGAACCCAAAACTCCCGTATCATCTAAGATTTTTGCTCCAAAAACTCCACTTAGTAGCGCACGGTCAAAACTCAACAGTCCACCGAAAACATTTGAAACTTACGGATTTTTAAAATCATTGGACGGTAATAATTCAGATTTTAAATAAGTGATCTTTTAACATTTTTATTTTAATGAATATTAATTATCGTTTCAAAATTCTCTTGATAGTTCAATCATCAATGTTTTTATGCCATCCCGATGCCAAAAAATATCGCGAAAATTTCAAACCTCATAAAGAAGAATTGACAAATATTTTGTACAAAATGTACAACGAAAAAGTATTTGATAGCAAATTGAATGTTGATATTCAATGGAATAAAAAACTCACAACGACTGCAGGCCGTTTTCACGGTCGTACAAAGTATGCGATAGAAAAAAATCCCCTCAAATATCTCGTTTACGGATTCGATTTCTTTGGTTTTTAATTTTAGGTCAGTCAAAGTCACTGGAAAGAATCATCACATTGAACTCAGTGAAAAAGTGCTGACAAGCGCAGATCGATTACGTTGTACACTCATTCATGAGATGTGCCATGCGGCCACTTGGATTTTCAACGGAGAAAAGGGGCACGGAATTCGATGGAAATCATGGGCAAAGAAAGCAAATTACGTTTTTCCCGAGCTTCCAACAATATCAGTTTGTCATAATTACGACATTGAGTACGTTTTATTTAAAATATGTTTTACACTATCAATTATTTAATCTTCGGTATTTTGTTTTGTGATTCTCCGTTAGATACAAATATACATATAAATGTGATATGTGCCACAGCAAGTCGTACTCACATTCGAAATCAAAAAAGGTTGAGAACATCCGATGCAGCTATTGCCACGGAATGATCAGTATTTTCTTAAACAAGAAAAAGGACGGCCAAACTATAATGGAACCAGTTCGAGAAGCAAATGGATTTGCAAAGTTCGTTAAAGAAAAATATAAGGACTTTAAGAAGCCGGGTGTTAAACATGCAGATGTCATGCGTCAAATTAGCTCTCTATATTCCACACTTTCACAAGAAGAGAAGAAACAATACTGACGAATCGGTTCCACCGAATTACAAATTGTGATACTGCTTTTATTAGTAGTTTATTTCTTATGTTGCAATTGAAAAAAAAAACATGTTTTTACCTATGACAAATATATGCAATCAATAAACGAAGACGAAATGAACGTTATAAAAAAATTACTTGTCGAAATTTGAGAAAGACAATGCAAGCGGTAAAGAAATATGTTTATAGTTTAGTAATCTTAAAACAGTCATCAAGTGCTGAAAAATTGCTCTGATTCAATTTGAATTCCTTGAAGTCAAGAATCAATGTCTTGAATGTTTGAAAATCACTTAATGAAAATAAAAACTCGTAAATTTCCCCGTCAAACTGAGTCGCCGTTGTTCTGGAAAATTAAAATAAAAACATCATTAAAGTAATTATCAAATAACCATTTCAAAGTATTTGCTTAGTAAGCAATGCTCACCTTAGTTCAGACAAAAATGAATTCATGTCGATGTTGGGTGCGAGTTTTTGCAAATTTTCCAAAATAAAATCCTCTATTATTTTCGTGTAATTATTGAATATATCCGTATAAATAATTTTATTTTCTTCTTCATTCGTGAAGATCATGCAGTTCCTTTCCAAAAATTCGGTTTGAAGTTCCTTAATTCAAAGTAAAATAAAAATTGAATAAGTGCATATTAGATTCAAGGTTAAGGTGTTCATTTACTTGAAAACTGTCGCTGATCACAATATCCTCAATGTATCCAATGATAGTCTCGACATTACTCGACGGTGCATTACAATCCTCTGCGTGCAACAGATCTTCATCCAATTCAATTTCCATATCCACACAGTCAAATCTCATAAATTCTTTAAGAAAAATGAGCGACACAAGTTGTAGTCAAGTTTAAAGCCCAACTAAAAATGCGCTTTTTAATTGTTTATAAGATCGTTACCATTAGCAACACATATATTTAAATTTTATATTGAAAACAGATTAAATATATTATAAATAATTAAAAAACCAATTAGAAATCTATTTCAATCGTTAATGATGCATAAATAAAAGAAGAGACCATGAATATAATGATTAAAAAAATAAAATTAAACGAAAAATTCGAATTGATAAGCGTGAACGCACCATTACGATAGTATGGTTAAGCATAGAAGTACAAATGTCAGAACTATTGTACAAAGCTGTTTGTCTCTTTTCAGTGAAGTTCTGTCGTGCAGCGAACAACAGCGAACAAGAAAAAGAAGAAGAAGAAGAGTATACCAACAACACAAGAAAATTATAAGATGCCAATAGAGAAAAGAATGCTGACCACCGATTGTCATGATACTGAGTCACAATCACAGCAAATCACAAACAATTTTTTGAATCGTCGATTGAATTGAACATTTTTCTTACAATACAATTAGTCGACAATAATAACAATAATTGAATAGTTAAAATGTTTAAAGTTGGTGTTGAATTTAAATAAAAAAAAAAAATAAAAATTTAAGAAAAAGTACGTCTTTGCGATTCTTCGTGGTGTCCTATGCTATATCCTAATGAACATTCCGAATCTGTGATAAATCGATTTGTGTGTTTGTCTATTATTATAAACATTCAATACTTTATACGAAGTTTTGTGTTAAATTTTTTGTTGAAAAAAAGTTTCGAATCGATAAATGTGCAATTATTTATAATGCCTTTGAGCAATCTGTTTTAATTATTTTAGTCAAAAGAACTGGATAATATTCATTTTATTTTCTGGAACAACCTAATACAATCTATCAAACGATTCAAATTTGTTTAAATTACAACGAATTGAATATATTTCGTGAATAAATACATCCATAATGTCCTCCCATCATTCGCAATCACTCTCCGATCCCAATTATTTGCTAAGATTACAAAATTTGCGGTTGAATGATGATTCCGCAAATAGTTCGTTGCCAGTATCACATCGGCGTACGATTTCATTGAATGGAGCCGCTGAAAATGATCCCGCATTAAGTAATAAATCATCGGTAGCCAATACAAGTCGAATGCAAGCCTCAAATGATGATGAATATAAACTGTATGATCAAAATAAATTTATCACGGCATCGAAATTTACAGGGCCCAAAACACTATCACCTAAACATCAAGTCAATATAGCAAAAGCATCAACAACAACAGCCTATCGCAATAGTGCAAGTCCAACACAGTCAATATCTCAACAATCTGTTTATGAGAATATTGACTATTACAATCCAGCGATTCCAGTACAAATAACACAGCAACCTTTGCCACCCCCTCCGCCAGCTTACAGTCATTATGTATCAAGTGTATCAGGTATGAGCAAACCAAGCATCGGATGTGGAACTTACGAAATCATTGGAAATAAAGTTCCATCAAATGGTGGCTCATTAAATCGCTTCACGCATACGCCACAGCCTGATGACCATGATCCTTCACATATTTATGAAAATTTGGGCAATGTTTCCAGTTCCAGTACGTTTTTGTTAATTGAATTATCATTTTTTTTTCTTATAACAATTACTTATCTTTTTAAATTGTAGATGCACCGCGTGCAACGTCTGCTCTTCCACCTCCGCCCCTTCCCGCCAAACCAAAACAGTCGGTTTATGCACAAATAACTGGCGACACATCTGGAACATATGTTCAACCACAATCAATACTGCCGCCAAGCTATCGACTGCCACAGTCACCATCAACGCAAGTTGCATCACCAATAAAATCATATGGAAACATTGACACTGTCGCAGCTGTTAAGTTACAATATTCAAATCCTCGTGCCAATATAGTAAATCAATCTATTTCAAGCTCGTATGAACACCAGAAACATCCTTCGTATTTATCAAAATTGGTAAAATATATTGATGAAAATGACAATGATATCTTTTTATGTTATGAAAAAAAAACCAAAACATTTCAACTCACTTTGTTATTCACAGCAAAATCTAGAGCCACTTCAAGCTTTCCCTGGCGTAATGAACGTATCCATGAATCCAAATTATATTGAAGATCTTAATGGTTCTGATTACGTTTGCATGACGCGTTCGGCACCACAATCCGTTTCGAAAATGGCATCGTTAAATGCGATTTCAACAGGTCACAGAGCTTCTCCGACAAGCAACATGCCAACCGCCAATAGTTCCACTGCCATGCAATTGACGAGCAAAAATTTACAAACCTTACAACAAGAACAATTGAATGCCAGCAACAGATCACAAATAAACCCATCTGATTCCGAAATAACCAAATCGATTTCTCCAACGCCATCACAACTAAGCAGTAATTCTAATAAACGTAAGCATAAAATTATTTGAATTACGAATTTTTGTAATTGAAACATATACTTATTGAGCAGAAAAAGGGCATGCAGCAAAGCCATTATTGCCGTATAGTGTCACTTCGCGGCCCGGTAAAACAGAGGCAGAACGAAAAATCGAAGAACTTACTAGGCAATTGGAAGAGGAAATGGAACGAAATGAAGAGCAAGGTGAATATTTTGGTATTTGCCATACGTGCGGGGAAAAGGTTACAGGTGCTGGCCAAGCGTGTCAAGCAATGGGAAACCTATATCATACAAATTGTTTTATTTGCTGCTCATGTGGCCGTGCACTGAGAGGAAAAGCCTTTTATAATGTTCATGGTCGCGTTTACTGTGAAGAAGACTATATGGTAAGTTATGAAATTATTACGATTGTTTTTGAACTCAAAAATATAACTGCATTTTCAGTACTCTGGATTTCAACAAACGGCGGAAAAATGCGCCATTTGTGGACACTTGATTATGGAAATGGTAAGTGAAATGATTGGGTTAGAATAAAAACCTGACTCGAAATAAAAATCTACATTTTTATTTATTTTCAAAATAAAACAGATTTTACAAGCGATGGGAAAATCATATCACCCGGGCTGCTTTAGATGTTGTGTATGTAATGAATGTTTGGATGGTGTACCATTTACCGTTGATGTGGATAACAAAATCTATTGTGTAAACGATTATCATAGTATGTTTGCACCAAAATGTGCCAGCTGTGGAAAAGGTACAAAAAACAAACAACATTTCTGATCTGATTTGATTCGACTCATTAACATAATGATGATTGTCTTATTTATAGGAATAACACCAGTTGAAGGCACCGAGGAAACGGTACGTATTTATTTATTCTGTTAATTTTTATGTGAACGAGATCAATGCTTCAAATGCATAAATTATTATTGTTCGTGTTATTAGGTGCGTGTTGTTTCAATGGATAAAGATTTTCACGTGGACTGCTATGCATGTGAAGACTGTGGCATGCAGTTAACTGACGAGCCTGAATCAAAGTGTTATCCATTCGAAGGACGTCTAATGTGCCGAACCTGCCATTTGCAACGCATTTCAATGAATCCAATACAAAACGAACCGGTTTGTGCAACCTACCAATACATGGGCTAACATGAATCACTTTATAAACATTAACCATTTCACTTCGAGAGCATAATCATTATTTTATTATGATCATAGCTTCTGGAGTTGGCGATCCAAGGGGAGGGGGGGGGGTGTAAATTCAAAATTTTCTAACATTTACAGTAACTTTTTCGATTTGGTCTCGCAAAAATTCAAAATTGCATTTTTAAATAGTTCATTCCTAGAGGGGGGGAGGGCGGTTGGGGGGTCTCACAGAGCATTTGCCGTTTTAGAAAGTGAAGAGCAAAAAAAAGGTCTTCACATTTTTCGCAAAAACCTTAGCAAATCGAAAGAATATTTTTCTCAAAAAAATTAAATTTCTAAGAGGGTAATTCCCAAATCTGTTCTACAGTGGGGGTAATCGGTAATCCAACCCTTCGGACCCCTGCTCAGAAGCTATGATTATGATTGATTCACTGCCAATACGAATTTATGTTTGCATTCGCTTTGAATTAAAAAAAAACAGCTTACGGTAGCAAGTTGCGCAAAAGTCTTAAGAATAATAATAATAATTAAAATTAAACGAATACGCATTCCATTTTGATAAAGAGTATCCGTGATTAAATTTAATAGCTAAACAAACTTTATAAATAATACCTTACGCGTTGCAATCTTTTGATATGAGTATATAAACCACGAGTCAATGTTTAATATTCGATAAAATGATCCAAGACTTAACAGCTTAATCGCAAAGTCCAATCTACTCGCACTTGAGGAGAACATTTTTTTTGAATGAATATTTACAAAACTGGATGAATTATTTCGTTTCAATTCACCAATATTTGTTATTGTATAAAATTCCATTTTTATATTTAGTTTTGAAAGATTTTTGTTCTAAAAGTATTTAATTCAAGCAAAGTGACTGTGTAAATTTCTTTTGATTCGCCTGAGAAGATAAATGCTTCCGACTAGATGCAACGAAACTGATGTAATTTTATATAAAATAGAGTTAGTTTGTATTATTTATATAAAACATACTTTTAATCAAAATAAATGGGCATGAAATCGATTTTGAGTTTTTTATTTCAACCAAATACCCAAGTATTCGACTTAATTTCTGAATCAACTAGGGAAGCGCGTACAATACACTGCCATTATATGTTGGAGCCCTCAACTTGAAGGCTGAAGAGCGATTGGATGTCAAATAAGCGTTTCTTAAAGATATGTGTCCTCTTCAGATTATTTTGCACCTGTGAACCTGATTTAATCCATCTTTGGAATCAAAAGATAAAATCTGATTTACAACTGTCGAATAAAAATATTCTGGTCGAACAATGTATGCATCGTATAAATAAAACTCATGATGTACTGTTATATGATTTATTTATTAAATTTCTTTAAATGTTTTACAAATAAACTTTTATTACTAATTGAATATTGTTTATCAAACATTTATAATAATATGAAATATGAGCGGCAAAATTTGCAAGCCAAATTCAATATTTCACTGACGCTGCGAATAAGAATGACAGCTTAAATTCGTTCAATAAATCTCTATTCGTAAATATTTTGATTTAAGATTTTGTGTATGTGTATGTGAAAATGATAAAATGAAAATGTAAACGTTTATGCATTGGATATGAAAATCATATGCTTACAAAGCTACAATCTATTTGAGAAAAAAAGAACTCAAAAAATATAAAAAAAAATATAAAATTTTCAAATGAATAAAACTTAATCCGCGTTAATTGAAGACAATTTTCATCATATAAAATAAAGTCGTTACGAAATCGAACAAAATGATATGGATATAAATGAACATTGAATATAAAAGAAAGGTGAGCCAAACAAAAAGAAAACGTTAAAATAACAATATTTTTCGGTCCAATAGGTTAACATGTCGTGTTTGTACTTGTGTAATATATTTTTATATTGATCTTACAATTTAAAACAATCGATAAATTGTTTGATTGCTGTTTAAGTCTAGTGAAAAAAAAGAACTTTCATCAATAAATTGTTCAGTTGAATTTTTGTCAATAACGTTTGTGAATCCTTTTAGTCCAAAAACAATTTGAAGGAAGTTAGAACGAAAACTTCATAAAGACACACTTTCACCCTGTTTGTTCGATTCATAAACCTAATTTAATGATTTCATGTGACAATCGTTTATTCTGTTCATCATTGATTATTATTAGTTCACTATGCTAATATTGTAATGCTATCGAAAATCATTTAGGAAATTTTGAGAATATGGAATCGTATCAAAGAAGAAGGAAAAAAATAAATTGATTACGACAATTTTCCTTGATATTTCGTCAAAAAAAAAAAATGAAAGGAATACTTTAGCTGCGTTGTGATTATGTTGCCATAATATTGTCAGCAAATTCACAATTGAAATTGTTGGTCACAAATTACAAATCTGTGTCGTACCAGGCGGCTGTTTGATTATCGCCCGCCGGTGGAGACGGCATTGAGTCCAATAGTTCACCCGCACCAATTTCTCCGACGTCCATGTCCATCTCATATGGTGAAGTTGGTCCAACCAATGATGGACTACATAACTCTAGCCCTTGGAACGAGTCAATTGGTATTGGCAATGTTTCATATGCTATAAACGAAGAAAATGTGCGTGAAAAATAAAATTAAAATCGAAGCAAAAATATTTCAAACAAAAATAAAATAAAACGTATTAACTGAATAAATAAAACCAAACTATGTAATAAAAACAAAAAAAGCAGGAAAACTGTAAACATAAATTGCAATGAAAAATTAAAAACCCATGCAAACTGAAGGAAAATAAATGATTAAAATTCAATGAAAAAACCGTCAAATAAAAAGTAAAAAAATCATGTAATTGAAGCAACAGAACACTTGAATAACAAAGTTTTTCATTCACCTATGCTGGGTTAGTTAATGTGACACTTTTGATAAAATCCGTATTTTGAGTAATAACTTGTTGCAATCATTCGTTGTTGGGTTATATTATGTGACGATTAAAAATTAAATTGGCGCGCGCTTTCGCGAGATAATTTTAAACTATGAATCAACTTTAAACATTACGACTAGACACTTTCATTAGTTTTTGCTTTTGTTTCTGATTTTTGTGTGTATTTAAAACTTAAATATAAAAATTTCATCGTTTCCAACCTTAACTGAACATTTAAATCAAAATCGAATTAAATATTTTATGTTATTATTTTCTTGAAATCTAAATTGTTAAGTGTTTTGCCGAACTTATTAATTTAGGCTGGCTTAGCTATAAGGGAAAGAGGTATGTGTGTGAAAAATAGAGAAAGATATAGAAAACGGTGAGTTTTTTGCGATTAGTTTTCTTCAGTCAGGCATAAAAAGTATATTTGATTAGTCAAATTATTATATTTTTGTTATTTGATAATGTGATGTTTATGGCATTTGTTATTTTTCATTGAACTCATCATCAAAAAACTTATATACCTTGTTGGAACATTCGTCCACCGTGTGAGCTGTGAACACTGGGCGGACCTTGTCCATATAATCCCTCATATGCTTGATCGGCCCCAAGCATGTCCTAAATCGAATATGAAAATATTGTTAAATTTTTATCGGACTTTGCAATAAAACATGCAGTGAATTGAATGAACAAACCTGTAGATCTGGCCCGAGACCAATGTCATTTGTCCAAGCGGTATCGTCTCGCAACAATGAATTGGTCAATTCAACGGATAGACGTTTTCGATATTCGGTCGATTTATCTTCACTCATTCGGAATAGGATAGCCGCTGCATAGGTGGCAACACCTTCATTACGTGAATGCAATAAGTCGGTGAGTGGTGAAGTTGCTCCAGCAGCTTCGATCATGTCAGCACTCTCTTTATCGTTTGATAGTTCACACAGAACACCAGCAGCAACACGCTGTTTAGAATCAGAATAAATGTTCGTGTCAATTATAAATATTCGAAATATAAGGTGCCAAATTTCATTGAATTCTTACCTGAATATTTTCAATGTCACTCGAAAGCAAAGAAACAAATATTGGAGTAGCATCTTGTTGACGAATCAATACTCTGTTGTGTGGATCTCTTGCAAGGATATGTAATGCACCAACTGTGCCCTCAACGATCTCTTCCATACGAACACCATCAGCATATGCACCTGGCTGTTGAGATCCATTGCTAGCCATTGACGAGCGTTGCTAAGTTAAACAATGAAAATTTATCAAGACGTTTGACACATAAATACACACATTCTCCCAATTTCTTTGCTGAAAACCCAAATATTACATTGAAAATACTTACGATGTCCTGTTGTGCCTTATTCAACAAGTGAATTAAACAGTGTATGGCATTTTGTTCGCGGAGTGGCGCATGATTTTCATGGCACAAGGCCAAATTCCGCATTAATCCGATAACGGCTTTAATCAATGGCCAGCGAGATGGAGGACTCAACAGTTTGACGACAACACGTATACCGTAATTAATCAAGCGAACGGCGTTCTGTGCCATTTCGGCCAATTCGTGACGTGAAGTCAAATGGCGTAATGCACAAACAGCCGGTTCAGTGATCTCCTCACGATCGCCAGCATTAATGATCGTATTGACCAGTGCTTCGACACCATTCACTTGGCACACAATCTGTTTATTGCGTTGATTGTTGCATGTCAAATTTGATAGGATTCCAGCGGCACATGTCACAAAGTTGGCATCTTGTGAGCCGAGAACATGAACCAAACTTGACAAGAGCATATCGAGTCCATCGGTTTTAGTGGCTGCATCGGATAAATTACGCAATGTCCACAGGCAATTTTGTACCAACCGTTGTGATGGATTGGTTAAATGCATGGCCAATGCTTGCATACCACCAGCTCCGACAATGGCGGGTTTGTTACTTGAACAAACTGAAAGGACCTTCAATACACGTGAAGTAGTCCACAAAAGTTTCTCATAGTCATTGGAGCGCATAATGCGAACCAATTCATTGGGTCCGCCGGATGCCAAAATAATCAATTTACTCTCTTGATTGCCGTAGGCAAGAATTTGAAGACAATCGGTGACGATTGCTAAAAATTTGACATTGTTGCGCTGCAACAATTGAACCATTTTTTGTAGGCCTCCAGCCAAGCGAACAGCTGTCTTTGATCCATCTTGATGAAGGAGCAAATTATGCAATGTGGTAATTGCATAGAATAGCACTGATTCAATTGGAGATGATAAAAGTTTTACCAATGCCGGAATTCCGCCGCTTTTGAATATGGCAAGTAAACCTTGACGATGGTGCGATAAATTATGCAAAGTACCGACCGCACCTTTGGTCGTCTCCAAATCGTTCGAGGTCGAAATGGCCTGAACGAGAGCTTGGATCATTGCATTACTTTGCATAATTGCATGTCTGAAAAAGAAACAATATGATTACAATCGACAATCGAATGAATTTAAAGAATATGGATTTGCAGACCTGGATGCTTCTTTGCGCGATAATTGATGCACCATCATGGCGGCATGGGAAACGATATAGTTATCCTCATCGTTCAGTAGCTTAATCAATTCAGGTATAGCGTGCGTGGCCAAATCGGCGTCATCTTGATAGTTGATCAAATTGACAACTGCATGTTTAAGCATTTGTGATGGTTCGGATAGACGTTGTACGGCAGTCGGTTGCTGTGTATCAAATTGTGTCGACGGAATATTAATGCCTTCCTCAAGAGTTTCTGGGAACATTGCAGCACGAACGCGCTGCGAACGTGTTTGGCTTAATTGAGCGTTCATATCATCGACTTGTTCTTGTGTGAAATTCTGAGTATAGCCGCCCTGGTCCATATCGAACATCAATGGATCATTTTCCATTCCGTCATCTTCTTCGTGTCCACTCAACGATGGCACCTGAGTTACAGCACCAGATTGGATACCGGAATCGCAAAGATACGAATTCTGTTGCCACATCATTGTCTGCTCTTTTGCAGACATCATTTCTTGTGGATGTGGATTGTTATATTGCTGATGAGGCACTGTAGAAACAATTGAAAAAGAGTTGAATTGAAAAAAAAAATCAATACAAACAGAGACTTTTTTCATTACAAAAATGCGTTTCGACCGTTCATATGAATAAAAAAAAAGAGCTAAAGAGATGAAGCGTTCAAAAAGGAATTTCACTTCATTCAATTTTCATGCATTAACATATTTCCACTTTTTTCTGGAATTCTTCGTTTATTTTCATATACTCAAACACACAGACGATTGTATTCGCATGTTTGAGCACTACCATTTAATTTTCTGTATATATTGTACAATTTTTTAATCCATTGAAGAAGGAATAATAACTACAGCGGCAGCAGCAGCAGCAGCAGCAGCAGCAGCTTATACGACAATCTATCATGAAAATTATATACCCAACCCCCACATTTGAGATTGAAAAAAAAAGATCAAAGAAAAAGTTGTTGGCGTTGTTGAATCGTTATGTGAGTTGTGCCATCGGTTGAAATGGAATATGTTTCACCCTCGGCTATTCGCATTCTCTTTTGTGCTGCTGTGCGTTGTGTATGTGCGCTGTTGATTGTGGTGGTTTTTGCTGTGCTTTATGTTTCATTTTTCATCTATTGCTTCAAATATTCACTACTATCACAACAATATTCTTGCTCAATAAAGCTTTGGAAAATCAAGAAATTTGGAATACACAGTATTTGCGTTGTTATTCTTTTTCGATTTTCAGTGGAAATTTTTTTACTTTAAATATTTACGGCGCATTAAATTTATTGAAAGCATTCACTGTAAAATCAATAAAAGGAATGTCAAATAAAAATCGAATCGCTTGCACTTCAACTCTTCAGATTCAACTGGGAAATGTTATTGGATTACATTTAAACAGAAATTACGAAATGGAAAATACTTACTGCCTCGGTTTTGTACGGGATTATAACTCATGGTGACGATTTCTTTTAAAATGCGAGAAGAGTTTTATCTGGAAGAAAAAATGGTAAAACTATTGATTTATTACAAATATACTTTGTTGAGAAGGTCAATTTTATTTCATAAAAAAATGATATTGACTCAGGATTGTTATTGATTTCTAATTATTATTTTCGACGCAAATAAAAGCTTTTTGGTTCCAATAATTATTATAAAGAAAACAATAACATGTAATATTGACTTTTTATAGAAAATGTGTCTGTTTCTTCTGAAGCAAATAAATTACACTAGACATCTATACAGTTCACTTTTTTTAATATGAAGCGAAATTTGTTCAAAAAGGAAAGAAACAAAAGCAAAGAGATAAGATTGAAGAATTTTATAGTGTGTGAGAGATAGGTGGCTTCGTTTTTGTTATTTTTCTTTCGTTCGATTCAGTTCGGTCAACAATAAATTGCTAGAACTGAACAAAATGCACCTACACAAGAACATTCGTAACGTATATTCTATACACCGAATATATTCCGATAATCATTACTTTTGAAGTGGTAAGTAGTATGTGAAAATGAATAATAATATGGTAGAACACATATGCTCCAAATCAAGTCATTTGTTGTGGTAAGCATATTCATTAGAATTTTGAGGGTCTATTGAATTCCATATTATATGATCGAAGAACGAATCTCTCCGTCGATGGATTATGAGAGAAGTCAAAAAGTCAAAAACACTCTTACTAAATTAAAAATGTGCACCAAACTAATCATATAAATGGAATCTTTTGAGTGTCAGTCATGTGCACGCATTACTCAATCACCCCAAAGTCATGCTTGCTAAGTATCATAATAACCGAGGGTGTGCGAAAATTATCATCAACATCAAACAAATAAAAAAATCACAATGCTCGGTTCAATATTTTTCATACTTGAAGCAAAAACCGGCGAGACAAAAATGTACAAGACTCGAAAGAAAAAAAAAATGGCTTTCCCAATTAAAATGGTTTCTTTATGGGACTCGAATGCTATATATTATTGTTTGTTTTTTGATTATTGCACAGGAAATAACAAGCGTTGCTTGTGATACGCTCATTCACCACGTATTTTTCGGTTATGTTTCTCTTTTTTTAATTTCTCTTTTTGAGTGTTTCTTATGTTAAAACCTGTTTCGGAATAGGTTCTATAGAATGCTGCATGCAGACTTCACAGCCGATACAAAGACATTGTTTCAGGTAGTAGAATTTACGAACAGAGAGAAAGAAAGAGATAGAGAGAGAGAGAGAGAGAGAGAGAGAGTACAGATGTGAAGAAAAGACATAAACAACAACAATAAGAATTCGTCTTTTCAATTTAATGGACCAAAAAGAATGTTTTCAAAAATGGAAAAGAATCCATTTTAAAACGCACTGAATGGAATTTGATGAATTCCTTCTAAGCCAAAAATAAATTATGGCATAGTGTTGAGCTCACTGGCGAATTCGATACGGTATTGTTGTAAGTCATAAAATTGCAGCAAATATCTATTAAACATGAGTCATAGCATATCTTAAGTCATTTTTTTTCTTCTTTTAAATATCATGCATTACACACATTCACTAAAAATAAGTATGGCAATTGTAAATTCACGGTTCGTTCTTGAAGATGAAAATATTTCAATTGAAAAGTAAGGGTCTTCGAATACATAATCAAAAACTATATACAGATACAAATCACGGCTGGATATTATTTTTGTGTGTTTTACAAACATGTCGCGCATTCGAATTTAAAGTAGAAGAGAGAAAAACTCAAAAGCAAAACATCGACTAGTTTATTCTATACATGTTTGTTTTTAATTTTCTTTCATCTCTTTCGCGTGGCCGTTCTTCTTCCAATGCATCTCTCTATACATTGATTTATGTATGCATAGTTTTCTCTTCATATTGCTATGCCTCTTTCTTTTTGTTTGTACATTTCATTGATGTGCAATTAGTCATACGTAAAACTTGAGTAAGAATTTTGTCGAAATGAACACAAAAATGTGGAGCACTCGAAATTTATTGCTTTTCACATTCGAATTTAATCAAAATGACTATATCAGGCGCTCAATAACTCCGAACAAAACCGAAATGAATCGGCCATGTTTTTTGTTCCGTGCATTTCTTTCAGAGCACAGGTTCAATCATGTCTTATATACATTGAGCACTAGTGTCTACACACACCCTCATTCAATGTTTTTTTTTTCAGTTTTCACAACACAATTCACAATCATACAACACGTATTATTCACGAAACATTTTAATTTCTATCAAATAAACTCTTACCGCTGCTTTCCAATTCAATCAAATCGCTTCGTTCGATATTCAATATGAATTTACAGAGAAAAAAATGTTTGTAATTTTTTAAGCTGTTTGTTTCTCTTTCTGTTTATTCGATTGTGTACATTGTATACTCTCAGCACATTCACAACGTTGCACTGCTCGTATCGTACTAACACACAAAGTGTTATTTTTAATACGAGTCGCAGCGAGAGCTGTTCTTCTCTCTTTTCTCTGTTCCTCCAATATTCGTATTTGATGTAGCCGCATGTGTTAGTAGTAGTGCCAATAACTGTGAGTTCATGTCATTGATGATGCGGATGTTGCGTATGTCTTTGTGCGTCATATAGGCGAGAGAATCTAGTTTTGAGAGTGCGTTCAAACGTTTGTGTGAAGTTGCCTTTTATTTCGTTGTTTTTTTATGAATTACTATGATTTTTTAAACTTTTTTGATGCAACTAAAGTTAATAAAATGTTGTAATCGATTTTTTCATTGAAATAAAAGTGGTAGAATGAAGTTAAGAGCGGTTCTCATTGAAAATTACTGATTTAAAATTCAAATTATCTAACTGAGAACGCAGTCTTTTAAAAACTGGACATTTACATGTTTTGAAATGAACAATTGAAATGATTTGTTTTCAAAATTTTCTTTTAGAGAAGAAAAACTGAAAATACTTATAACTTTAATCAACATTTAAATTTTGTTATTACATTTCAACGACGACGAAACTCGTTTTAATATAATTTAGAATTTATGCAAATAGATCAAATCATGAGATCATAGATCAAACTATGCAACTTTATTGTTTAATTGCATTTCCTTGGAAAACAGTGTGTATATAATAAATGCTTTAGAAATGCAACTGTTCAATTAAAATCTGACTGCTATATGTGTCATTATACTTGCGTTTTTAAAACCATGTATATATGAGGTACCAATCAATGTAATGTTATAATTATCACACAGTTCTATTTAATGCATATTCTTTTTCTTAAGAAAAATTAATAAAAATAAATCATTTATTGAATTCAATTTTCTTTTCAAGAATCTTTCAAATTGGATCGAAGTTTCATCATTTTAACTCCATGATGTGAATATTGAATGATTTTTAAAGCAATAAATTTTCTTCGATTTTATAAGCGAATGTGAAAGATTAAGTAATCAAGAACAAAAACCAATAAGTAGAATACCGCATGTTTTCGTGAACGACTGTGTATTCTCTGAAACTTTGTTATGGGAAAAGTTTATGGACGCATTTAATACATACTAGTATGTTAACAACATAGAAGGTAGAAGACTTCAGTGAAATTCCAAAAAGAGTGGTAGCCTCGAGATTCTTAGAATACTTTGGTTTTACAGTGCGGTATCCGTAAATTCATTAGAGCGTTGCATTGTCATACAGAAATGTAAGGAGATTTTTTGATTGGGTCTTAATGAAAGTGGCTTACAAAATAAGTATCATGATATAATTAAAAATAGTGGAAAAAAATGTTTTTTCTGTTACTGAGAGGCAAATGTATACTTTTCTAGGATTTCATTTAGCTTATTCGCTGTTTTTATTATGTGTGAACGTTCTTTATTTATCCTCATTTCTTTTGTTCGGTTTTCAAAGAAAAGATTCCAAGATATTTCCAAAAATATTTGCAGGAAATCGAAGAATAAAAGAATATAAATGCAATAAAAATAGATATTTTTTATATTCAAATATTGAATGATCCAAACAGGGTTGTAGCCCATAAAGAGGATGATATGATTTCCTTTTTGCATGTACTTGGACTAAATCCAATGCTCCATTAAACTGCAACTTAAAATCCTATGAATATAGATATGAAAAAAGCGATAAATGTTTATTTTCCATTCAATACTATCTATAAAAATGAAATTAAAACACAAGTTGTTTAGTTTTTATGGCGAAATAAATTTTTGCTCACCACCGTATGACTTCGAAAAAACTAGACACCCGTTTATTATTGGTATCATGTACCAGCGTACATTCAAAATCCAAATAATAACGCGTACGGTTGCGAAAGCATTCAATATATTCTGGTGATTGTTTTGTTGGATATCAACATTGGACATGCAAAAAAGAATTTAACGCTTCGATCCAATTTTATCATTTATCCCTGAGCTCAGTGAGCAAAGATATAGAAACGCATTGAGTTTGTTTTTGAAAGAGAACCAACGTAGAAGCAATCGTGTAAATTGCAGTCGTCTATTTGGCTCCATTTAACCTCCATTAGAAGGAAGCAAATGTCGCAACACATATCATGCGAATCTTATGCGAAACGCTCAATGTATTCTGTTTTCTAAATTAGCAATTACTCTGCTATTACATGTATACCTTCAGACGAAATTGATTTGAATTTAACATGACATTTCACTCTAGGGGAGAATCTAAAGAGAATAAAAGATTTTTGACGTGTTCTTGATGAAAAGACCGCCACAGATGATTGTTGATTGCAGCGCAATACAGTCAACAACAATATTTTTGTGCATTTTGGTGTTAATGGGAACGCACTTTGTCTTATAGAACATTTTGAGCGAATCAATATATCTCTCTCATTTTCATGGTTATATATGAATGTGAACTGTGTTGGTAGTACGGCACACGGCTTGATCAAATATTTGTTAAATATGAGTATTTGGCATGAATATTGATATGTGTATTTTCTAATTGTTAAAATTGTGCAAATTATGAAACCAACGGGAAAATAATCACAAGAATAAAATAAAAAAAATAATAGAAAATTGATTGATCCTTCTTCAAATACTCTACTTCAAAGTGTTATCTTTATTTTCATATGTATGACAAATGCACATTTCACCCCTCAATTTACGATTTAATTTTATATTGTAAGATCAATTTTTGGTATTAAAAAAACTCTATATTCTTCATCTTCGTTTGTAAGATGAATTTTACGTCACTTCGTAAATGCGTCAGATAAATGACAACTCAACTCTCAAATTAATCGATACTTCTATATTTATAGATTGTGTTGAAAAATACGTACATTGTAGTATTGAGAGTTCATTTACGCAACATAATTTTTTGACTTGGAATAAAATTGTGGAATGTGATTCTTTTTAAATAATGATATTGATGCTTGTCGTGTACTACTCTATATTCTGCTCCAGTTAACTTACCTTCCTGGACAGATAAAAAGACAGTTCGACCAATTCGAACGTATATTCAAATTAATTTTCTTAACCTTGATATGATATTGGCGGTTCTTCAAAGTTAAATTATCCTTGAAACGAGCATTTAAACTTTTATATGTAAGGTCGTTGTCGTGATTAACATTGATCACAATGAAAAAAAGTAAAATGAAAACATTGTAAATTTAAGTTCAGATATAACATTGAATTCACATTGTTTTTTTTTTTTAATGAAAATATTGTATGTAATATACCGAGGACCACGATGATTCCAATGTATAGTTTTATCTGAACACAAAAGCAGATTCAAAAACCACTTGTTGAACCCAGAATTCTCAGATCGAACGCCACAATACGAATTCCATTGTTATCAGTTTTATTGTTGTCAATCGCATTTTGTGTCATCCTCCCATCATTTTTTTTTTCCTTGTCGCAAAACATAAATCACTATACAAACGACAAAACATGATTATAACCATGTTGAAGCGTGGTTGGTCATTTCGTTTTACGTCGTAATCAATGTATGCCAATAAAATGCCCGGCTTTTTTTATATATAAGTCAAAGTGAACACTGAACACAACGATTTCTTGGAAACCCTTAAAAGAAAGTAAATGCGAATTAGAAATTAAAGCGTGAGCGAAAGTAAATAGTAAACAATGAAAAATGCACCCGAACGAGTGTATAATACTTTCCAATCCATTCGTTTGAAACGTGTTTAAAGCGGTTTGATTTGCGCATGAGTCACAGCCGTTCATAAAATATAAATGGATACGGTATTGTTTGGTAAATGACAGTGTAATTTTCCAGCATTCCAACACTTTGCTAAGAGACACCAAACCAAAATATTAACTGATCAACAGCACCCACGTCGTGCGATACAAAAAATTGAGTCGACCGCAGAGCAAAGTTTAGTATCGTGCTGAACTCCAACTCAAACGGGAGCTTTTTATCGTTTATCCTGTTGCTTGGGTGAACGTAGTTTTCTTTCGGAAATCATACTACACAATAGCAGTTAAGTTAAAGTTGCTCAATTCGACAAAGTGGAAAATACAAAATAAAAATGGAATGACTGTTATTTCTTCACAAATAATGTGCAAATGAAGTATGTACTTCTAATTTTTTGAAAATTTGGCAACATCCTCGTGTTAAATTAATGAATAAACGCGAATTCTCGTAAATAGTAACATTTAAAAAAATAAAATAAAAAAGAGATTTAATTTATAGCCAAATGTATGAATGAAGTGGAATACATAGTGAAAAGTTAAATGTCGATGAAAATATATGTATTTTCGTTTTCGCCGATTTTTCGCAAAATTTATTTCGGAATAATAAACCAGACAATATGGTAATGTAAAAAGGTTGTAGATAATCAAAATAGTCGGCTAAGTTAATGACATTTGTAGTGCCAACATACCTAAATTGGGCCGATATTATTTCAACCGAATCATCATTTTAACCTTATCGCTAATCGTGTGACAACTAAAAGTGTGATGAACAACAAACGAACTACACAAGTTCTACTATAAAAAAAAACTTATGTAAGTGCTTCAAAAAACACAATAGAAATGAATGACCACTTAAAATAAATTGCCTTTGATTTGGTGCAGTTGATTCTCTAATTCGCGCCTTAGCGATTACGAATCAAATTTGACCATTTGGCACGCTTGAAAGACATTTTAAATTTGCATTGTTATTGCTTCAATTGACTTTATTTCTGTAATTGCCACGAGCAGAACTTTTGCAGTGAGATCTAGTGCCAATTTTGCAGTTATGGAAAACAAAGTGCACAAATTGCTTGATATTCGATTCGATGATGCCAAGATTTTGTTATACGTTAAATCAAGATTATCTCAATCCTTGCAATTATTCACACTGCGAACCGAAACTGCGGAGACGCCATAGTTCATGATTTAATTTTAATCATATGGGGATTAAGTCATGGAACCAAATGACAATTTTGCCAATTGGAATTTATTAACATTTCAGTTAGTATTAGTAAATATCTTTCATATGTGAATCAAACTGCTGGAGAATCAATCAAAATGCAAATCGCAATGATTTACATTTGATGATTTATGGTCGAAACATTGAAAATTTCAAAAAAAGTGGTTAATGGCTTTATAGTTCAACTAAAATATTCAACTTGAAATGGAATTAACCATTTTAAACTTAATTATAAATTGACGGTAAAATAATATTCAATTCGATAGTTGCAGTCGAAATATTTTTCAGTATAGTATCAGTATTAATGACAAATGATATCAACATTGCACTGAAATGACCAACAAAGTAAATATAGATTTTATATTTTTAGACAATTTTACTAATGAGTTTGACATTCAAGCGATAAACATATTCCGGACCAGAACTAAAGTTTTGTGTGTTTTTGTGTTGGATACTAATTTTCTTTCTAAGAAATTGTTTGCCATGTTTTGGAGAAGGGTTTCTCAGTTGGTTCGACATCAAACCAAATTAATAAGAGGTTAACCTCAAGTCAAACCCATTTACGTACCATTAAAAACACACTTAACTTTTGCCCAGAAGATTTATAAAATATAGATGAATTTCACAAAGTAGTCAATTATGGCATTCATTTGACTTCGTTTGGTGCGAAAGCTAATGACTTCACGTTGAGCTGATTATTTCCAAGTTTTAAAATTGATTGCCTCCGTTCCAAGAACAATGTTCTCACTCGGAACTTCTGAGAAATTAAAAAAAATGCACCTCGATAATAACACGTATAATGAATACAAGACAATTAGACGCAAAACTGCACTTTTTCTCGAAATTGTTTATTGATTGCAAGCGATAAAAAAGCATTTCACTTTATTATATGGTTACAGTAGGTCGTTACCAAACAACGTTCTCAGTGTAGCTAATTTAATGATACTAGGACTTTAGGAAGTCCTTAATGTGTCTGCTCAACAACGAACGGGACAACTACATGTAAAAAATTGCACTGAATTATATCATTGAAGTTTTTGCAATGTTTCAAATGAAAAGAAACAGCTGTTTGTTTTACCCACCATTGACCTTCATTAGTTTCACCAAGATGAGATGATTAAAACGAAAACGTGTAAAAAGGAGTTTATTTATTAATTTGATCAAATTTGAATTTCAAGCATTAATACTTTAAAAGGTAAAGTGTTTACATTATTAACCTTCTTGGAATTTACCATGAAATTTTGTTTATCACTTTGTGCCGAACATGTTACGAGCAAACACAGTTCGCCACTTATCGCAATGCAGAAAACCTTCTTAATTGCCTACAATCAAATATCGTTTTACAAAGTTGTTCTATTGCTTGACCCAAAAAAAAAATCGAATCAATATGCCCCATTCGCCAACTTACTGAGTAAATGTAATTAATTTTACCATCTTTTTTATTGGTAGATTGAGAATAAGTACATTTTCAATTTTTCATTTGAAACGCCATTCGTCCATTTAAGAAAAACTTGTATATCAAATGTTCAATAGATTTTTTTAAAATACAATTTGTTAAACGAGATTTTAAATCTAAGCAAATGGTTCATTTCATTTTAAAATAAAGAGCTATGGATATTTTTTCTGGATATCATATTGATTGCGTGGTATGTGAATTGGAATCAAAATTCGTTGTCCTTGGCTATGTTGAAGAACCAAAAAACGCGACCTCCCTCATACTTGATGAAATTTATCTTCGTTATAAACTTTAACCATTTACGCTTTAGGAGGGACCAAAGTTTAGACGAATTCGTGTACAAGAGACAAAGAAGAAATAAAAATATATGAAGTCAATCTTCCCATTCATCACTTACATTTCGTTCAGAAAATAAATATTGCTTGATAATAATACTCTTTCTAAAAGTTTTACTAAGCTCATGGGAACATTTCAATGTGTTTAAATTGTATAGTTAAAAATTAAGAGATTTTATGCCTTTCATTCGCCATAATATGTATATGTTGAATGTAGTATTTGGAATTGGGAATGATTCTATTTCGGATTTGTTTTTGCATGAATCCGTTAAATACAAATCAATATTTGTACTCTTGCATTGAATACTTTCAGAGTACATCGAAATGAAAAATTGAAACCGTTTAGATTGAAAAATCATTGGTTACGAATTTTTTAAAATTTATTTCAAAGCTTATTGAGTTTTTAACCCTTTTTTAAAATGTAAATCGCAGTGATAATCACAATTTCGAGATATTTTCTACAACTATACAATTCATCAATCGTTACGCGAAGTTTTTTTCTCCACAAAACCGTCCATATGGAAACTCTATCTCGACCAAATGTAATTATTTGGATTCAATGCTCATGAGCACATCTCAAATATCACGCTGATTTGAGTTTGTTTTTCTATATACGAAAACTTCTACGACTCCGCGCTCTTATACATATAAACCAACCCTATGGGGTTTTAATTTCGTTTATACATCGAGCACAAATGAAAACAGCATGTTGCAAATTAGAGTAAAAACTTGAGAGTACAAAAATCGTATTTCTGTATAATAATGGAATGAGTTTTCAATGAAATAATTCGTTTCTAAATCATTTCAAAGCAAAATATTGAAATATGACAAATAGATAAGCTGGAAACGTTCACTTCATTTACGACGGAATAGCAACATATGAGTTTCAAACAAAATAAATCACAAATAACGACACAATCGAAAAATTTAAGCGAAGTGTAAACTGAAACTGAAGCGTATACACGTGTTTTTCGCACCAGAATGTGGGATGATTTCAAAAAACCGATTCTTAAAAAACTCTGGCAACATTCCAAGAATCAAAATAATACTGATTCATACCAAGAGGTGTAATGCGCTCAATAAGCGTAATGCTTTGTTTGCCGAACTTCGTATAGACAGTGCCATCTATATATAGAATGGGATATTATTTCACAAGTTTGAGAATGAGCGCATATGTTATTCCAAAAATTGTTGAAAAATAATTTAATAAATTGTTTCATTTTTTTGTTTTGAAAGTGAAGTTAGCACAATTAGCATTAGATAATTTCTATTTTAAAAAAAACATAAATTTATTAGCGTTTTAATTTAACTTAAAAAGCCTCGGGTGTAGAGTGTGTAGATCTTGTAGAAATGATTTTGTTAAAATCTCCATACGTAAACTCATAAGTGTGAGTGTGACATTTGACAGATAGATACAAAACGTAATGTTATTGTTCTCTTACATACTTGTCATACACTCGTGCGAATTATTCTGTTCTGTTAAGTTCGTTTATTCCGTTCATTTATTTTATTTATATTCTTAATCTGGCAATCACAGTTTAACATTAACAGTTTTATTGATCTTGACACCGGCTGTATAAAATATCCTGATGGAGACTTTACTTTTATATTAAACTTTATTCTGTTTAGTTCGCCAAAAGATAGAGTGAGGGCGTTAGTGTGACAGATTTCATATAAAAAAGCTACTGTATTAGAGATCTTTTCATACCAGAGCATACCGACAGATGAATTTATCAGATGATTGGACCATTTCGATTTTTTGATATTTATTGACTACATTTGAAACCGTGACCATAGACTTTAGATCTCTATAGTCAGAAAGTAAAATTGCTCTAAATGAATGTCACAGATTCGAAATGTAACAATTTATCTCATAATGCCATAATTGATGTTATCTTTCGGTATTTCATGGTTCTAGGTAAAAAATATTACATGTTTCAGAAGAATTTCTTTGTTAACGATTTTGTTTTTTAATTTTACATCGTGCAAAAGATTTTTAAATGAACTGAGTTTAATAGCTTTATCAAAGGTCTTTTACTATGGAATTGTGTGTGTGTATTTACAGAAGGTTCTTTTTGATTGCAATTCAAGTTGATATTTTTCTCTCTCAAATTTTGCGAAACCCAACTGAACAAAAAATAATTGTTTACCTATGCGAAAGCTGGAATATGTTTTTTTTTCTCCTCATTGATATGCATAATGTAAAACAGACTTTTTTCAATTTGTGCAGAACTTCGATTCTCTCGGAATGGTTTATCTTGCCTGCGGAGCTTTATGTGTTCGGTTTTTTATAACGGGTTTTAAAGGAGGCGTATTTAAAATGGTTTTGTTGATGGCATTTATTGCCTTTTGCACGTTTGTTCAATATCTTCAAACACAACAAAAGAGTCTACGTAAAAGGGTTAAAAAACAGGTTAAGCTAATTAAGTTTTCATTGGAATCCACATATTTGAATCGTTTTTGTAGATAATTTTACACCACCGAGAACTTCCTTATTAGAACTTGCACACAGTTGGTGAGATAAATGTTTTTTATGTCTCATGTGATGAGTATGCTGCTTTATGTTTGAGATAAGATACAGTCCCGTCAGAAAGTTTGAGACCAAGCAAAAAAATGTCATACAATTTCATACAAATAGACGATTTTTTGGAGCAATATTTAATATATTTCAGAAAGAGCTAGACTCATAATTTTTTGCACACTTATTGTTCTATTTACGGAGAGTAAACTACTGAAGTTTTACCAAAATAAAAAGTCTTACGGGAGTAAGACGAACTTTTCCGCACTGTGGTAGTTGCGTATTTTATTAAGAAAGTTCAAAATAATATTTGCTCGATTCTTCAAGTCTTTCAAGCGGCGTAAAGTTCGAGACCAAAAAATATGTTTCAACTTTGGCAACGAAATATTTTTTAATTTAATAGCAGAAGTACCCGAGAAAAGATTTTTCACACTTTCATGATGAACCCATTTGTACGACATTTGAAAGTATTCTATTTTCTAACAAAATACTATAAAAAATATGTCTGACGTTAATTTTGCCATAAAAATTATTTTTGAAACACTTTCCATAACTAAAGTCACAAAAAATTTGGATCTTTGTATGGGAGCCATGTCTGTATGCTATATTAATGGTGTGAAACTTTGCACAGGTTATTTTTTCACAAAAAAATAACATTCGTAGGGTTTGGAGAAATTTCAACCAAAATTAAGGGTACCTCCCATACAAAATATTCGTTTTTGAGCCAAAAATTTAAAATTTTGTATGGAAGGTACCCCTAACTTTGATCGAAATCTCTTCAAACTTTCAGAATGTTATTATTTTGTGTAAAAAATAGTCTGTGCAAAGTTTCACGTCATTAAAGTATCATACAGGCATGGCTCCCATACAAAAATTCAATTTTTTTGTGACTTTTACAAGGAAACTGTATTAAAAAATATGTCTGACGTTAATTTTGCCATAGAAAAATATTTTTGAAACACTTTTCATAACTCACAAAAAAATAACATTCGGAAGGTTTGGAGAAATTTTAACCAAAATTAAGAGTACCTCCCATGCAAAATATTCGTTTTTGAGCCAAAAATTGAAAATTTTATATGGGAGGTACCCCTAATTTTGATTGAAATCTCTTCAAACTTTCAGAATGTTATTTTTTTGTGTAAAAAATAGACTGTGCAAAGTTTCACGTCATTAAGGTAGCATACAGGCATGGCTCCCATACAAAAATTCATTCGACGTACAGATTAACATAAACCATGCTCAAAACGGCCTGATTCGGGTTCGCTGACCTCAGAAACGTCCAGAAAACATGTTTCTGAAGTTTTCAAAATTTTGACCGATTACAATACTTTTCACCTTACACTATGTGTGCGGAAAAGTAAAATATCTACGCGTTTAAAAATATCCGATGTTTGCACTTTCAAGTGTGAAAAAAGATTATTTTTCATACAAAATGTGTAATTTTTCACACTTGAAAGTGCAAACCTCGGATATTTTTTAAACGCGTAGATATTTTTTGGTAAAACTTCACTAGTTTACTCTCCGTAAATAAAATAATAAGTGTACAAAAGATTATGGGTCTAGCTATTTCCGAAATATATTAAATATTGCTCCAAAAACTCGTCAATTTGTATGAAATTGTATGAAAAATAAAGAGTCTTACGGGAGTAAGACGAACTTTTCCGCACGGTGGTAGTTGCGTATTTTATTAAGAAAGTTCAAAATAATATTTGCTCGATTCTTCAAGTCTTTCAAGCGGCGTAAAGTTCGAGACCAAAAAATATTTTTCAACTTTGGCAACGAAATATTCTTTAATTTAATATAGCAGAAGTACCCGAGAAAAGATTTTTCACACTTTCATGATGAACCCATTTGTACGATATTTGAAAGTATTCTATTTTCTAACAAAATACTATAAAAATATGTCTGACGTTAATTTTGCCATAAAGATTATTTTTGAAACACTTTTCATAACTAAAGTCACAACAAATTTGGATTTTTGTATGGGAGCCATGTCTGTATTCTACCTTAATGGCGTGAAACTTTGCACAGGTTATTTTTTTCACAAATAACATTCATTTTAAATTTCAACCAAAATCAAGAGTACCTCCCATACAAAATATTCGTTTTTGAGCCAATTGAAAATTTTGTATGGGAGGTACCCCTAATTTTAATTGAAATCTCTTCAAATTTTCAGAATGTTATACTTTTGTGTAAAAAATAGTCTGTGCAAAGTTTCACGTCATTAAGGTAGCATACAGGCATGGCTCCCATACAAATATCCAAATTTTTTGTGATTTTTTCAAGGAAACTGTATTAAAAATTGATTGTATCTCAAAACTAACGTCGGATTCGGTTTTCTCGTGCCAAAAAACCCCCCAATACATATTTTTGAGTGTTTAAGTCTACATTAAGTATGACTTTTGGACGAAAATTGGACTCTTTTTCATAGGTATCACCAGGCATGGAATTTTTTTCCATCAACCAAAGTCGCTCAAAATCTGATGATTTCTATTCCTGGGGACCCCCAATCATCCCGTGAAGTCAGATTTCAAATAACTTTTCTGGGTGGTGAGAAAATCGATGGACAAATTTTGCGTACGGCGGACAACGTACGACGTACGACGTGGAAGCGACCCACAACAACCATGCTCAAAACGGCCTGATTCGGGTTCTCTGGCCTCAGAAACGTCCAGAAAACATGTTTTTGAGGTTTCGTAAATTTTGACCTATTGCAATACATTCCCCTTTCACACTAGGTGTGTGCGGAAAAGTAAAATGAGCTTGGTCTCAAATTTTCTGACGGCACTGTATATTCAATTGCAATAAAAGTAATAATTGCATATTTACTTTATTTTTTTTTGTCATGCGGAAGGTGTTCCCAATTGTGGCTATATTACCCCGAGTATGTCAGAACGAAGGAAACTTTTATTTCTTCTTCTAAATTTTAAAAGGAATTGCCATGACTAATATCACAAATTTTAATCGAAATCAGCTACATACACAAAAAATTGCACATTTACATGAGAAAATCTACTGAAAAATGTCTTTGATTCATTTGAATTGGACATCCCTTCAAAGGAAAACAATACAATCCGAATTTGAGATTTTTTGCGATTTCAAATTAAATATTTTAAAAGACTCACAGTCTCTTCGACGACGAAGAGTAGCAAATTCACCATATAGAGAAAAATGTAGCACATTTCATTTATGTTCAAAAACTCAAATCCAGCTTGCATATTGCATTGTTGGAGTTTGAAATTTGATCACATTTTTGGAATGCTGAAACACACATTCGGAAATAAATAACATCGCAAAATGTGTTATAGTGATGCAAAAATAATTCAATGAACATTCATTCATTTATCGAGCAGTAACGACGAACACAAAAACATGTGTATTCATTAGCGTTACCCAATTTCCGTATCATTGTTAACATAGAAGCTGTGTTCAATAAATATTTATTGGTAAGCGAAATATGCGCACAACATGAACGAAACCAACTGTTTGAACGCTGTTATTGTTAATATGTCTGAAGCTTTTCGATATCATTTAATAGTTTTGTTGCTCAAACATAGGAGCTGATAACGATAAAACCGTACTCATATATTAAACAAAGTCTCAAACATTGAAATCTAATGATATATTGTAGCACTAGGTTGCAGATCAATTTCTATGACGGGTCATGTTGTTGCCGTGCACGTGTAGGGTTTGTATATGTATTTATTACTGCAAATGAATTAGTCTGAAATTATCCAGCTTTTATATAGGGCATAAAAGAAACGACTGCCGACCCTTTTCTGACCATGAAAATTTGTCGATATCCTTTTAACGGAACTCCATTTACAACGCAGTGAAATGAATTACATTTTATTTCATTTGAATATAATTGTTTTTGAAGCTTTAATGATATTGGTATTATGATTCTCCATTAATGAATAATCGATAACCGTATGCACTCCAACTCAACGTCTAAACAACTTGAGGCCAACCACCCGTTATTTAGTTATTGTGACCGTATCGTAACGAAACCTACAATTAACGAGATACACGACGATCAATTGGTTTGTAAACATTCGACAATTCTTATTTGGAATACCGACACGACACCATGGCATATTAGATGTATGGGGTGCTTTTAATGTGTTGGCTTTGATTGATGCTTAACAATGCGGTTTAATAGACGACACATTGCAACCAATGAGTAAAACATTATGTGTTTTCTCATGAAGTCAAATCCTGAAAAAGATTAGCGCATAATGGAAAAGCAGATAGTATCAACTAATAAATTTGTTCGTCTTTCATGTATCCACAAAAAGTATTTGACAACTTTCTAGATTAGTAGAGTTGGTTTCAGTGGTTTCTACATAATTACCCTTGACTCAAGGGCCTTTATAGAATTTTGACATAGTAGATAGTTGTGAGATAAAAACCATTGTTCAAACTTGCTTAATTTTGTTTTTTTATTCTTTTACAGGTTGCATGGATAGAGCTACCGAAGAAGAAAGTTCGATAGAGCATCATGTACAACACGGCTGACTGATTATATAAATATTTCAATTTATTGAGCAATCTGTAAAAAAATAAACAATACAAACGAAGGAAAGATGGATAAAAATAGCGCTACACAGCTCAGTAATTTGCCCGATGACCATTTGTATTCGGTCTATCAATATATTACGGGATTTGAAAATATGACTGAAAAGGAACTGAGGAAACCAATCCTACGACCTGGTCTACACGATACGTATTTTTTGTTCATCATACAATATGCATTGCTAAGCATAATTGGATCGTTTTCAAACATATGGATCATTTATTACATAATTCGTCATAGATTATATCGAGACAATACACATGCATTTTTCATAAACTTGAGCCTGTGCCATTTTATGCAGTGTGCTTTCGTCGTCCCCATCACATTGGTAGTAATCATCGTCCACAATTGGATATTGGGCCAGTTTATGTGCTATTTCGTACCTATGTTGCAGGTAAGTAATTCCACAAACCATTGCGGCTAAGAAGATTTTATATTGCTTTCAGTTAATGGTACCTACTTCCTACACATCTCTACATGGATTATAATTGGAATTTTGATTCTCAAACAAACCCATACATGTGATACGATTTGTAAATCAGTCAAATGTCAACAATGTTGCTGCAGAACTGTTTGTGTAAAAAATAAAATTCGATAACTTTCAGAACAGTGATTGATATAAATTCAACACCGTTATCGGCCAAGAATGCTACAGCAAATTCTTTTCAATTCATCTGTTGCACAAGATGTTGGACAATATGTTATACTTTGCCAAGACAAATGATTGTGCTTGATGATATTTACAAGTCGAAACACCGTCATTTTTCAAGATGTCCAGATAAGCGCCCAAGCATTCCATTGACATTCCCTTCTTCCTACGTCGGTTCGTTTCATGTGTTATTCACATTTTGGATGTTTGTATTTGGGGTATATTTTTTTCTTAAGAAATTGAGGAATTTCCCTGAATGTGATTATTGACCAAATGAAAAACAATGTATTTCTCATTTGGTTTGAGCAACGACAGCAAGGACCGTCAAATATGCAAAAAGGTAGAAAAAATAATATATTGTACTGGGGGAAATTAGATTTGTTTAGATTGGTGGCCGTAAAATATGCATAACAAAAATGGTAATTTTTTTCAGTTTAATTGGTGCGCAATATTGACATTAATGCATAGCTTACACTGTGGAAAAGTATCCATTTGGCGAAGGATGTCTTGGTGACAACCTTGCAAAGGTCCCTTTTGGCAGAAAGAAAGGATTGACGCTTATGCTTTTCTCAGTTCTTTTCTGTTGAAGAAAAATATGAATATTTTGGAAATTGAAGAAAAAATTGCATTACAGTAAAAGCTTTTAATGCTGTTATGGTCTTTTTTGTGCCTGTTATTCATTTATGGCCATAAATCGACCGACTTTGCATTTTGTGTTTGCGGTTCTTGGCAAAGAAGCCCATACTTAAAGATTCATAATTGATTAGAAAACCCAACAAAGCTAATGGACAATATTAGCCTACGTTCATTTCCTCAGTATGGAAGATCCATTAAAACTGCCACGCCACTTATATTCCATTGTTCATTTAAAAAAGTTCAAGGCTAAAATATGTATATATTTTGAAAATATTGATATCACTGTTCCTTGTTGTGTGTAACTTATTTATTGAAGTCGACAAAACACCTACTGTTTTCTAGTAAAAAGTATTTAAAAAGATACTTGTTCATATATGATAGTCGTATGAATTCTTTATTGGTACTACAGGCACAATTTATACGTATGATTGACTTTACAGTATTGGCTTTTTTGGCGTTGAAAGGAAATAAATCAAATATGCCCTTAAAATCTTCAGATGGAGAATCTGTTCAGAAATCGGTTTTTATTGAATTACTGAAATTCGAAGGGGGTTTTATCGTGCAAACAGTTGCGTTTCACGCGTGTCTTTGATTTCACTCAAACAAATTTCATATTCGGTTTAATATCTTCTTTTATGTTTTATTTTTTACATTATTGTCTATATTCTTGACATTTTGTGCAATTCAGAATAAATCTGAAAAGAACAGTAAGAATAATATACTTTTTATCCATTGACAATCGAAAAGCAGATATTTATTCTCATTATTTGATCCGAAGTGTGAAAATGAATAAAACTCCACCAAAATTCAAACAATGTCGTAAAATTACACAATACACATCTAGATTTACAAATTGTGCAGAAATGTTTTGTTGGAACTGAAAAAAAAAACGGTTGGTATTAAGCAGAATTGAAAATAAAGCTCCTGGATTATGTTTGATAATTGCATAAAAGCGCATAAATATAAATTTTAAAGAAAAGAGCGATTATTCACAGCGAGTTCATTGTTCAATTTGACGAGTCGCTGAATAATGTCAAAAAAAGAAAATCAGTACATTGCTTAATGCTGATATTCTTGACTTCGGTAGGCTATATACAATATACATACATACGATTGCACACTCGAAAAGCATACACAACAAACAGCTAACCAATGACAAATAAGTTGTACTTTTGGTGACATCTTGAATTTATTTGAAGTGAATCATCTTTATGGTTTTTCTATTTTGTTATTGTAAAATATTGCACCAAGAGAAAATGGAAAATGATGGTGTCGTGTTGTCATATATAGTTAAAGTGACAAAGAAAGCCAGGCGTCGATGACAAATGCTGTCTGTTGAAATGAGGCACTTTCGATCCAAATAAAGTCGCTTTTATCAAGTCATGTTTTCTGTTGATTTACTGTTACTGATGGCATCCGAATGATATTTGACGTTCGCCGCCGTACCCCATTTCATCAGTGTTCACATGTGGATCCATAAATTTCGCATGATTTGCACGAACTGACTCTATTTAACTTGCTTTTCAGTACAAGTGAGACTTAAATGAGACTTTTCACATTATCAACCACATTTTTTTCCTCGCCTGTTCATTGGACTGTTCTATGGTTAACATGGTTGAAAGAGTGTGTGTGTCCTCCTATATATCGCTTTGCCAATTTACCTTAGTTTTTCATCATAAAATGCGCATCGTGTTGAAAATAATGTTTTATTCACACACTTTTGCCATTCCATGCGGTGCATGTAGCACAGAATGTTAACACATGCATCGACATAGGTTTGAAAATGAAATTTACAATACTATCTGAAGTGAAATGAAACGAGTATCATGGGAACATTGGAAATGCTTTAAAAAACGAATACAACTCATATCACTCATATTTATATTGGCCAACCAATATCACATTGCATTAATTATGTATCTTAATGCGTACAAATCATTCGTCAATTTATATTTTGTTTTTGCACGGGAAACATTTTCCCGTACATTTTCTCATGTAGACCATGACTAAAATGCCAATAGGCAAAGAATAATAAATGACACAATTTTAATTGTGATTCACAATTTGTGAACAAAAAACCTTATATGTTTTATTTTCAAACATTTTTTTATAATACGTACCAAACATGGGCACAGGGGGTGTAAGCCCGGATAACCCCCTTAAATCTTCTGAGTTAACCACCCCCTGCCCGACGGCAGCCGAAAATTCTTTCAATTTGCTAGGGATTTTCGCAAAGACCTTTTTGTTGCTCTTCAATTTTTACGGTGGAGAAAAATCTTTTAATTTCCTAGGGTTTTTCGCGACAAAAAATCTCTTGATTTTCTAGGGTTTTGTGAGTGGCCTTGAATTTTTTTCGTGCCCATGATATGTACAATATTTTTTTATATTTTCACTAGCCATTCTTCGGCAGTTTTTTTTTTATACAATACCTTTTCCTGAGATATTTTTTTTTCATTTATATTAAAATAATTTAATAAGTTTTTTCTTTGTTTGTGATTGGATGCTTCCCTTGTAGGATATACCATTACATGCCGCGCTCCTAACACATTTGTTGATTGCTTGGGATCGAATGCGGTGGCTGAATGATCCCATGAATACACGTTTTCCAGCGTTCGTTTGCAGCTGTGCAACATGGTTAACAGGAATGATCATCGCATTGCCTTATCCAATTTATACAACTTATTTGGACTTAGGAGTGAGTGTAATTTTATTTCGAAGAATTGTTCCAATTGACATGATTTATTTAAATAATTTATTTTATTTGAATTTTCCACATTAAAATTGCAATAACGTTAATTAATTGCAATGTGGGAATCTATTTAAAAAAGTTATGACGGTGATTTTGCGAATATTTATGACTTTTATTAAGTTCATGTTATAGAAACATCAAAATTGAGAAAGCAAAATGCATGAAATTTTATTTCATAGGATGTATATTCGCGGTTTTTTCTATTAGTTTATGTTTTTGCCTGCACCACTTGCAGTTCGAAAAAAATCTTATTCCACGCGCACATACATAGTTTTAACATTTTTTACTTCTAAGAAATGACGCCGTTATGTTTATGTTTTTCAGTTGTATTTCCCCAAATTCCACGATGTCGGTATTTGCGTGGTAAACTTGGTTGATGATAGTCAAGAATACACACGCGGACTCTTCTTCTTGATGTGAGTGCAAAACCCTTTTTCTAATTGAATTTGGTTTGATCTTGGCTCTTATTTGAATTTAAATATTTGTTCCATTGCAGCCTCGGCCAAATCCGGTGGGCGCTGGTATCGAAGATTTTTTGTCGAAGATTCAACGAATACGACATCTATTAAAAGACATAAAGATTTTTGTTACTAAAGAACACACTGACTCTGATTTTGTGTGTCCGTTTGTATTGCAAATTCTGCACTCAGTTGTCAACCGTAGTTGCAAAATTTATAACACATACGCATACACCGAATCGGAGTCAGTGTGTTCTCAGTACTAATACGTTCGCAATACAGCTATATAGTTTGCTAGAGCTGTGTCAACACAGCAGTAGCAACGAAAATCTTTATTGTCTTTAATAGGTGGCGTATTGTTGAATTTTCAACAAATATTTCCATACAAAAAGTGCTTCACCAGCGGCCAAATCTTATTTACTATATCAATGAAAAATTATAACAAATGTCATCACATTAAATGCCAAGGAATAAGAACACAATATACTTTACATGTGTATTGAACATAAGCAACTTCTTGCGTATTGATGCACTTCGACATTTGTCAGCAGATCAGACATAATTTCTCATTGATTGTATTCGCACCAAATTTTTTTATTGATTCTTATCAAACATTTGACATTCACAGGTATGTTGCTCCATCCGCAATATTAGGTTATTTGTATTTTCACACTGCTAAGGATCTATACTCCCCAGAGTCTGAGTTGAGTGTGATGATGTATGAACATCGGGCGGATATCACAGCTAATCATCATCAAAGGTGAGGAAATTAATTCATATATTGATAAGAGTGTTGCGAGCCCATCAAGGTTTTCATCAACATCGAATAGACGAATTATTCCAGGCGACGAGACATGAGGTGTTCATCGACTACACGCATGACATGTTTGATGAAACGCAAACAAAAACGACAACACAAGATACTTCAAAGCTATATTGTTGCCAATTTATTATATTACGATTACGTTCGGTGAACAATGAACGACCGATTATTATGTGTGAATGTTCACTTCCACTTCTGATAAATATATCATTCATACTGAATATTAATTGAGCCATTATCGCTACAATTCTATCTAAATTGAATTGCAAACGTGTGTGTTTCATAATTCAAACTTACTACATACCCAATGCCCGAGATAAATATTGAACTTATCAAAAGTTTCTAATATAGATGAAGTTCTTGCTCAATTCCAAATGAAATATCTTTAATTTTAATACAGACTGTCTTGTTCATCACACTTGAGTGAGTTCTGTCATTGTTCGTGATGATTCATTATTTATTTACACTGTAGATTTAACAGTCGTATTGTGTCTCTTCATTTATCAACACCATGTTTTTTATATGAATGGTTTATGCCTTTTACCATATCCCTTGTGGAAAATTACTGACTGACTAGTCAGTTAACTGATTTGGGACGTTTTTGGCTAAAGCCAACTGAGATTGAAGTTGTTTTAAGTTGATTTGGATGATTTTTCAGTCAATCCTAGTAGAGAAAAATACAACTTAATTCAACTTCATTCGCAGTTGACTTTATAGACAAAAACGTCCCAAATTAGTCATCTGTTTAAAATGACATACATAGACGACTAAAGTCGACTGAGTAGACGACTTCAGTTAAAAAAATTCAATTTCAGTCGATTTCAGCTAACCAGTCAGTCAGTGACTTTTTTCCACACGGGTATCCAATTGCAAACTTTTCTGGATAAAATGTTTTCTATTTATCTCGCGCTGTATTTTCCTAACATCAGACGTTGTTTGAATTATAAATACATTCATGATGAACATTTCGAAAATGTTACGGAGCCTAGACCTAGACAAAGCGATATAAATTCTAACGATTTTAATAAGATTTGCCGTATAATATTTGCTATGCTTTTTCGTATCATTCAGGTGAATAACGTCAATGATTATGATTTAAATTTGTAGACAGCCATTTATTTTATTTCACAATTGTTACACTTTTTGATTTTATTCTCTCAATTTTATATTAAACTCGTGCAATATGTTGCACTTTCAGGCCATGAAAAACATAAAAGCACCGTTTCCCCTCTCTCTCTCTCTCTGTGTGTGTGTGTGTGTTGCCCTATTTCATTCGAGTGAACCTAATTTCGGTGGAAAGTGAGATAATGCGAGACATTATGGTAGCACAACATTAAATTCTGTGACACATCATCCTTATCAGATATAATAGCTGGGCATAAGCAAAACACAGAATTATTATGAAATACGTCGAGACTATGTGCGTATCCAATAAGCCGGTGGGAGATTTCACATAAACTTCTCTGCGTTTTGTTGCAAGAAATAAACGAAAACAATAGAAGAGGAAATGGGAGAGTCATAAAAATGGTCCCATAATAAAAATAAACCCACATTTTGTCAATGTGATTAGGTAAATACCATTCCAAATGACATACAGTGTATTGGGGTGGGGGGAAGACACGTGGAATAGCACTGGGAAAATTGCAATGGGATAGACAATTCAGTAGTTGGAATTGCAAAACACTGCATGGAATAACAAAAATAGGTTGGATTCACCACATAAATGGTCGGCAGTACAGAAAATGTATAAAACAACCAAAATATTATTGTTGACTAATATAATTCAAAATCGTTTATGTCCCCCCTAGGTTTTGGGTTTGGCTGTTGTATTTTTGTTCAGTCTGTAGTATTCATGAAATTGAAAATTGTTAAATTTGAATGCTGATCTTCATTTTTACCAAATTCAACAGTTTCCCATTTCATAAAAAATACAAACAAAACATAAATACTACATTACCCAAATGTAGAAAACCAACACATTGAATGTAATTTATTTTGGCACATTGAATTGGTTTTTATGGAAAATTTAAAATTAATTTTTAATAAATGACGATTGAACTGGAATTTTCACATGAATTCACGTATTCGTCTTCGAGTTGAAATGAAATTAATATATGTGTAGATTAAAGCCATATCTTTAAATCCGTTTCACCAATCGATTTCGTTTGAATTTTTTTAATATTTTACAATTTTGTCTTTGATTTACTTTTTGAATATGACTCTACCTATATGCGTTAAACCTATAATTTAATAAGTGAGTCAGTTTATAAAAGAGGAAGCAAAGTTCACAAAAATCACTGAGATATAAAAAGCGAAACAAATTCTCGCAAATGTTATCGATTTTGTGCGTATGTTAAAAAGTGTCCATAATTTATTTGATATGAATGTATATAAAAAGTTTTATAGCCGACAAAAGGAATAACAATGTACTTTATAATTTACGGATGTTAGCCGAAAGTATAAAATAAACACATAAATACAAGATATGGAAGCATGCGAATTGCGTCGAGTTCAATTCGAACCACCCACTGTACAAATTGAATACATTGAAATAAAAGCAAGAGTGGCTATCTGAGCAGCAATAATGGCGTGTTCTATGTGTGTCTATGTATGTTATAAAGACTATGTGATGATAATAGAAAATTATTGTCTATACTGTTCTAATATTCGAGTCTGTATAGCTTTTTTGAATCCCTTAAAAGTTGGCAGTTTTGTATCAAATACAAAGATTTTTTTTGAATTTTCTTGAATAAAAAGAATAAATATTTCAATTTCTTTCTTTGTTGAAATTTATTGCAGCATATCATTATTTTTGTGAATAATATCGAAGAACATTTTACGAGTGTGAAGTAGTAAAAATGGCGTCGAATATGATGAAATTTCTCAGAAATTGTTGGATGACAACAGGGATGAAAATCGGTGTGTTTATTTCAAAACCCATATCACAGGCTAAATAGAAAAAATGTTTATATACTGGATTCGTTTGGACAAATCCACAAATCCACAAACCCATATACCGCAATTTCGCAAAAATTCTAACCTTCATCAATATCAATTTTTATATAATATAATGTTGTCAACCTAATATACATACATGTGTTTTAATATGATTAGATTCTTGAATTAATGCCATCACACTAAACTGAAAATGACAGAAAAATATTATATATTATAATACTATGCGAAGTTTTATGTAAAAACAGATACCAGCGCTAAATAACATTACGTACACAGAATAATTAACAGCGTGTTTTCCCCGAAACGTTGCTTTGCCGTGCAAGTACTCAATAAAGCGTAAAAGTGAAAAACGTCCACAAGCATATGAAGTTATGCACGCACATCAATATAGGCCAACGTTATTTCAAAAGTACGTAGTGAATTTTCCATTGGAAAACCTGACATGAACCATATTAATATTCATTTCATACATGTGTAGTTGAGTTACTACATTTCATTACTAAAGACTTGTTGCCGGCCTGTTTCAACAATATGAACACCCTAATCCATATTGCTAGCATAATAATGATTCAATTTGGCACTTTTCGCCATTTTCTTGAATACAACAATTCAAAGTTTAATATAGAGTTTAATAAGAATGAGAGCTGAAATCATCAAAGGAATTGTGTTGAAGCTAGATAAAGGAGGTATTTTTAAGTGCAAGCAAGCTTTTCGATTTAAATAATAGCAAAATAAAATTTTACAATTGCTGATACAACTGTCAAAATAAAGAAACATCGGTCAGTTTTTGTCTGAGCGCTGTTCGAACTCATTACGTGTCTGCATATCAGAGCTAAACAGATGAACATGATGAACGAAACTCAAAAGTGTTTCTTTAAACGGTTCTTTAAACTTTAGCAAAAAAATGACTTCGTTTGTTGTATGTTTTATTTAAGAAATATATCCCATCTATTTTTGCATATGTTTCGACGATTTGATAGTTTTGCAATCTATTTCAATATATGCAATGAATTTACTCATCATTCTTCTAATTGTCATGTTTTATTTTCACTTCATGCTGTCTCACATATATCTTGATACAAACATTTCTGCATTTATAAAATAGGGGAAATGAGAGCAGACTGATATGATTTTTAGTGTTTGCAATTTTTTAAGCCAAATTAAAAGATATCGCAACATCTTTCATCAAGTACTACCCAAAAACGTCCCTCTTGAATGTCTTTGAACGTCACATAGCAACGACTCCTATCAGCGGCCAAACGGCATAAATGTAAACTATGTTAAGTGACACTTAATAAGTGTACAAAATTGTCCACAATGAAAGACATTTTCAAAGATCTATGTTGCCGTCTGTAGAGTACGCTTCGACCTATTGAGTAGTGAACAATAACTTCACTTTCTGTGAATATTCGTGAATAACATCTTTATTCCTGATTATCGTAAATACGCAAAATAGCGGCAAACATCACACTGGCTTACTATAAGAATATTAACTACACACTTTTGAAGTTCTTCACTCAAATTATTTTTTTGTTGTTGAAGAATTATAAATTTTCAGCCCGAAAATTGTTTTTATGCAATAATAACATGATTATTAATTTTATTTTGTGTTGTGTGTGTGTGTTTCAAATCGCTGCTGTATACGAGCTGTATAATTACAAAAAACTACGATAATCACGAATATTTGTAATATTTGTCGCTATATACCAAATTCATACAAAACTGTGTTTATTTGGTGTTTTTTTTTCAAGTTCCGAACCCTAGTGTTCGACTCTGTGTTGTTGTTGCTTTATGTATAAAATCAATGACATTCAAGACCGGTGCCCAAAAAAATACCACCTCATTCATCGCCACCTTCAATCATCCTCTAAAGTCTGATTTTGATGTTGTGATTTGTTTCCGTGAAATGTTTTTCCTTTATTTATGATAACCTTTTAGTTTCCCATTTTATTGGCGGCCACTGCTTTTTGATTGGAGATTTTTTAAATTTTTATGAAGGTCAAAATGTTTTACGTTTAACAAAAGTGTGAAATTTGTATGAGTGCATCAGTGTGCCCTCTCACCCCTATATAAATATATAACCAAGGAACTATTAAATTGCTTACAGACATTCGACGACATCTACACGTAGTGCAAGTTCTCGAACGCGATACGATAAATATGATGCACAAGCAGATGCATCTCGTGAACAACGAACGCAGCTCTTATTAGGAATAATAGCAGCGTGTGAAATCTTATTGGTTGGACCCCTCATGGTTTTACGGTAAGCTAAGAAATGTCATTATTTATAAATTTAGTCACATGCATGTAGTGTTGCTGTTGGAAAACCGATATACCGATACTTTGAAACGAAAGAAATATATAGATAATCTATCGTATGTTAAAGTTTCTTTTGCATGACTATCCAAAGTATCGTTTGCATTCAACTTTTGTAAATCGTTAAGTTTGCCATACATTGTTCTTATCATTGAATTCTTTTTATTTGTTTGCGTTAGATTTGCGCGACAGCAAATGGATGAAACGTATGAAAATTCTTCGCATTTCGATTTAACATATTTGATGTTGGTTTGGGTGGCTTTTCTACCAACTATTATTTCTCCAATTTTGTACTCATTTTGGATTATCTCTGGGTAAGTTAGAAAGTTACATTTGTAGTACAATGAGCTTCGGAATCAGTTAACTTATCCGATTAGAAAAAACTTAGGATTTATCTACGTAACATGTATATTATGCTTTTATAATGCTGAAACTATTCAAATAATACAATAGAAATCCTTTGAATGCGTTAATCGATAAAATCGATTTGAAATATTAAATTTGCATTGAATAATTCCAGGCCGACAAAAGAACGAATTTGGCACTATTTTCGCTTATCGTCACGTCGTAGTGACAGTGATAATAAATTGGAATCGCAACGCTCAATCGAAAATTCAATAACACAGGAAAATTCGACCGAAATATTAGATATTGAAGCAAAAATGCCACATGCATCGAAATCCAATTACATGAAACCAACGAGTAAGATAAATTCAACCACGCATTCATCCGCAAACGCATTGAAGCCGAAAAAAAGTGAGAATCGTATAAATTCGAAAAAGACAAGTGCAAGAAACAAAAATGTGCGTATAGATCTTATTCGACCAGAGCAAACTGAATTGAATAATTCATGTTCGAATATAACAGCCAGCACTTACGCTAGTGGAAATGAGGTGAGTGGCACAAGCAGTGGCATCGCTATAGATTTTGAGAGCGGTGCTCATATTGAACAAAAATTGAACATCGATCACGAGAGTGTATGCAGCGGCACCAGCAACGATCGATTATCTTCTCGCAGTCATGACGTGCCATCAGAAAGTGGCAACTTATTGCTTCGACGTGAGTCGTCGAGTACATATGAAAGGGATATGGATATAATTGATTTACTAGAACGCGAACGCAGTATGGATTTGCATGAAATAATTGAGCGTGAACGACAGACTGAACGTTATCGAAGGAAAGTGTCAAATACGCGAAGCAATTCGGGAATTGAACGACGAAAATTGCCCGATATCACAAAAATAACAGCACCGTCAAGTCCAAAGCGATCCGAAAAATCGACAAACTTTCCGAATTTTGTTTTCACCCACCAATTCAATGAGTTTGCTGAGGCTCGAAGTAATCGTAATCGAGATTCAAATAGTGTCAGTTCCAATACATCGAATCGAAGTCGAAATAATTCACAAACATCAGTTGGTAAGAGGAACAGTGACGCTTACGCGTGGAAAGATGAAGAAAATACAATTCGTAACGTAACGACACGTGCGAGAAGCATTGATTCAAGAAAAAGCTCTACCAAATCAATTCATGAGAATCGAATGACTGGCGGTGGTAACAGCTTTACTTCTGCGACGTTTGCAAACAACTTGTAATATAAAGATAATGTTGAAATTGAAATTGATTTAATTATACATTTGTAAAGTTTAAAATGGCTTAAACTAAACAGGAAACAACTGTTTCAAGCTATAACTTCATAAATGATGCCAACTAATAAGATTAAAAGTATAAGCACTATGTTAGACTGACTGTGGAGCACACACTGCATGTATATAAATATGTCCGTTAGATGATGTGAGCATTAGACTAAGCGAAATATGGTTGAACATTTTCGTAATCGTCTTTTTTGACACGAACTTTCATCAAAATTGAAATAATCGCACGAAGTTTAAATATATTATATTTAGTTTTCACATTTTGACATGAAATGTGTTTTATGGCAGTAAATTTCACGCTTTAGTTGATGCATTGTATCTTAATACTCATTTATTTTTGACACGTTCGCAAAACATGTTACTACAATTCATGTTTTACTACGACGAACAACTACGCCACAACAGTAAAATGTTCGTATTTTCTATTTTGAGGTAAAATTGGTATGTACACCAAAATTCTACAAAAATATTCGTTTTTTTCTACTTTCAAGTAATACAAATTCTGTATAGAACTCCATTGAATCTTACTTGTAGCACAATAAACGAGACTATGTTTTTGCATGATTTTTTTTTTTTTAAAGTAGAGCATGTATTTCGAGTGATTTAGTGTCATATAAGCGATTTAATTTCATTCTGTTGAAAAAAGGGAGTATGTTTGAAAATATTTAATATATTTGACATTTTTATCAGAATTGCGCGCCAATTTCATTAACATTAATTCTGATATACATAAATGCATAGTACTATCTCAAAACATCATGCAAACGGGTGAGCGAATGGATTCTTTGGTGTTGCCAAGAGCACACATTAACACCAAAATATCAGAGAGAGAGAGAGAGACGATGTTCGCTATCGTAACTTGTTCGTTTGCGTTAATTTCTACCAAAAAATTTCACAATTTTCATAGAAGCTCATTTTTCATTTCATTTAATATGGACTAAAACTTACTCTCTCTTATGACAAACTTGCTTAAAAAACATGCTCTTTTTTGAACATTTCAGGCCCAAATACATACTCTCCTCTTGAAATATTTTCAGATAAAAAATGACAAACTCTCCTATCGTTATTTTCGATTTAGATTTGTATTTAATTTTATATTAAAGATGAAGCATAAAAACTGATAAAAAACCTGTACAGTCAGTAAATCTATTACAATGAATGAAACATAACAATCGTCACTTATTTTATTTTGAGGCTTCGTAGAATATACCAACGTAGTATGAGGTACACGTGCGAATGTTCTTTATACAGAGTGGCCGTCTATATGATTGTCCGAGAATGAATGTGAGTCTTCTCCTGAGAGTTTATTGAAATGTAACACCGCCATACAAAAAATGCTGACTGTCAGCAATTTTTGTATGGCGGTGTTACATTTCAATAAACTCACAGGAGAAGACTCACATTCATTCTCGAACATTCATATATATCTCAGTGAAAAGGAGGAATTATTTTCTGGGGGGATGATTTTTTGAAAACTAAAAATTCTCCAACAAATTTCGTTTTTTTGGAAGTCACTTATTGACACGAAAATCCCTAGCAAATTGAAAGAATTTTACTCCGCTAAATTCGAATAATTTTCACGAAAAAAAGAACAATGCCAAAAAGTTAGCCAGCTGTCATTGCTTGCAAATTTGTCAAACCCTGCGGTTATCATAACAAAACAACGTACGTTTAATTCACGATAGAAGGATTCACCCGAAAAACCAAATGATATACATAAATATAAAAATTATTTTATTTTATTTTTATTATTCCAATTATTTTGAATAATCAATACTTTTTTTGTATTATCATCGTTTTTAATATTTCCATTTAAATTTATTTAATTCTTATTTACGATCATGCATGCGACGTAAATGTGCCGTTTGAGAGTTAAACGCACTCTGCTCAGTTATGACAAATGTAGGGTTAGACAAACTCTCAGTCAAAAACTGCTGGCTCACTCGTTATATGAAAAATTGACATGGTTCTTTCTCGTCCAAATCACAGGGGACTACTGCTCTCTAAGGCTATGTGGAATGAACCACCCTGTATATGTACAGGGTGTGCCAGAATAACTGTCCCTTTTTCGTAACTACTTTGCCCACAAATACAATGCTTTCCAAGCACTCTTTTGTTTACCGTTATTTTTATTCATGTTTTGACTATGCACTGTGATGATGCACATTATTGCGCAGTTCTTGTTTACTTTGCAACAACAATGGATGTGAAACGTCAACTCGTTTTGAATTTGCACAAAAAAGGTTTGCGACAAGTTGATATCTTTCGACGTCTTCAGATCGATAATATCAACTTGAAATTTATTGAGCGCACTATAAAACGATACAAGGAGCATGGAACAGTCAATGTGGAGCGAAAACCGGGAAGAAAAAAATCTGTACGTACAAAAGATCTGGTCAAAAAAGTACGAAAGAAAATTCGTCGAAATAACAAAAGAAGCGCTAAAGAAGATTTGGGAGTGAAACCATTAAAAAAAACCCGAAAACACGGTTTGACAATCAAAAATAAGCAAGACAGAAAGCGAAAATGCAAAGAGCTGCTAAGCCGGGCCGCAACCTCAAACATTGTTTTTTCAGACGAGAAGTTGTTCCTTTTGCAGCCAAGTCTCAATGCGAAAAATGATTGCGTTTATGCAGCGTCAATTGAGGACATTTCTGAAGATGATTTAGTCGTTGAACGATTTCAAAATGTGTCAGGTGTCATGGTTTGGGGCGCCGTTTCGGCCGGCCACAAATTTCCCCCTGTTTTCGTTGACAAAGGCGTTAAAATTAACGCAGCTGTGTATGAAGAAGAAATATTGCGCAAAAACTTGTTGCCATATGCCAAAAATGTGTTTGGTGATGAACCATGGCTTTTCCAGCAAGATGGGGCACCGGCACATCGAGCAAACAGAGTGCAAAAGTGGTTAAGAGAAAATGTGCCTGATTTTTTTAACAAGGACGAATGGCTGCCATCGTCTCCAGACTTGAATCCATTGGATTATTTTGTGTGGGGCTACATGCAATCGAAGCTAAATGATCTGAAGATTAAGAAAATCACAAAATTGGATGCATTCGAAAAGAAAATCGTCAAAATTTGGAACGATATTCCCATCAAAATGGTGTGGTCCGCGTGTAAATCGTTTTTACGACGTTTGCGTTTGGTGGTCCGTGCAAATGGAGGAAGAATCAAAACCAAAACATGAATCTAAAATTTTGGACCCTATTCTAAATCTCAATAAAATTTTTGTTCAATTTTAGTAAAAAAACAATACGTTTTTTAAGTATATATAAAAAGGACAGTTATTCTGGCACACCCTGTATATAGTCTGTAGCTGTTGTTTCTTGGTATCACAGTTGGTTTTGATTCGCATTGAGGATTTTGTGCTTTTTTGGGTAATAGTCTAAATCCGATTCTATAGCAATCAGAATCACTTGATGATCTGGTAAGTAACCACTGGTTTACAGTTCAGCATTCGTCATAATAACTAAAATTGTTTTGAATAAACTTTAGTTTGCCACAAAAATCTGTATCCATGTGAGCAAAGTCAATTTTAGAAGAAGTTTTGCAGTTATTCGAAACATTTTCATTTGTATACTGATTTCTAAACGCTTTTTGAATTTGCATGCAAAACTTGTGTGTGTCAGTGTGTGTGTTTAAACATTTGTAAAGTTCAAACAGCGTTAATTTCCGGTGTCAAGTCAAATATTTCACGGAGATTTTGTGAATAAATGGGAATAAGTACAAACCGAATGAGCAGTGTATACAAAGAATAGATAAAAGCCATGTATGTCCAATTTGCCTGTAAGGAAAGTTTTCAAATAAAACTCCGTACGAAATGCCAACGAATTTCTTGTGTATAAATTAAATTAAAATCATTGTTGAGTGCCAAAGGACTTCGCATTCGGTTATCTATCATCTGGTACGACTACGAAAACGACACATTTCAATTTCAATTATCTTGTAAATATAGTATGCTTTTGATGAAAGTTCGTCCATTGAATGACATAAAATGGAAATTTACGGAATAGCTCTTGTAATGCATATTTGAGTCGTTTTTGGTACAGTGTAGTTGTTGTGTTAATAATAAGATGAAAATAATTGTTATTGTTCTACAGTTTATTGGGTGTAATACGAGATGTGATACCCTATAAATGTTATATTGGAATATGATTATGAATACATATAAATAGTATCCACTTGATGGTATTAAATGCATATAATTACTATTTCTTCTCTAAATGTTTCTTTCAAATTTAAGAACATTTTACCACATACTAACTCTACATGTTATAGAGTTTTCAATTTAATTATCTGTAATGATCTTATCATTTGTCACCCTCGAATTAATTTATCAGTGTCTCACTCAAAAAATGCTACATTGCTATTGCCTCTCCCTTAATCGGCTATATTTTTGTCAGTGAATTTTCAAAATTCAAACACAAGTAGTTTCACAGTAGGCGCTAAAATCGATACATCGAATCAGAGGAAGTGAAAGACAGAATGAGAAAAAATGAAATTAATTTCCTTGTAAATAAAAAAAATTAAATTCGTCCTTCGTGAGCACACTTTCAAATTAAAGAAATATGTAAATCGAACTACATAAATCCAAACTCATCGGATAAAATGTAACCATGTATACTAGGGATAGATAGAATTATAAATTGTATAAAGTTGCACATAGAATGCAATGAATCTGCCCATCGCTGCGCCCGTTGTACACGATCCATTTTTACTGGCGCACTTGAAAAATCTTGTAATCTGTTAAGTGGATTTTAATTGCATTTCTAAAGCAACAACAGCATATTGAACAATTAATGTGATAATGAATAATAGAGCGAAGAAGGTTTGTGCAGCGCACACAAAAAACCCCAAGACGAAATGGCATAGAAAAATATTCGATTTATATGCGGAGGAAAACTCGTTATTTAAAAAAGCACATCAAATGTTTGCGAAGTTTTTCAACGGAATATCTGAAAGTTTCATTGTATTTTATAGAGTATAGTTCATAAGAAAAGGATCACCTCGGGTATCCTATGACCATTCATTTTACTAAAATAACATTTTAAATATATTCCAATGAAGTTCAAACATTTTAAAACAAATTATTGACAAATAGCGTCAATGGAAGATGCAATGGTATCTTGAAAAATGATTGAACGTTTTTAAATGTACCATGTAAATATCTATCATTACGTGAACAATATTATATATCTGAATGTGAGAAGGTACGTGAAACTTCTTCTACTCCTAACCAGACGTATGATTATGTTGGATAAATATATTTACTGAAATAATCATACGCATAGGTGTTGACGGGAATTCTTTTTCAGGGTGTTGACGGCAAAATTCCGTAGGGAGTCCCTGCCAAATCTATACATAGGGGTCTGCATAAAAGTCACTTTTATCTAGTTTAAAAGGGGTTCTCTCGGCAAAACCTTTAGCAAAAATGGGGTTTTTGATACCACTCGGAAAATCATTGATTACACAGAGGGCGTAGGACTTTGGCTGAAAAATCCTTAGCAAATCGAAAGAATCTAGGGTCCCTTAGAATGTTTTAGGAACTCTCGTCAACAACTAAGTCTTCTTGTAATATAAGCTAAAGAAATGCCTTTTACAATATTTCTAAAATGAATTGAAATTAGACTTTGCCAAATAATGAAACTATTGTCTTTGTATTTATCAAAATAAAATCAATGATTGAAATATGAGGTAAATTTTATCTATAAATTGGACACAGAATGTTTAAGAAACACTATTACTCCAATAGGTAGACAATGAAATATCAACGAAAATACCAGGGGTTGGACACTCGGATTAGGAATCATCATTTGCTTCGGATTCGTAAATAATTGTCGGATTCGTCGAAATAGTGGAATTTGGTTTTTAGCATAAAACGGTTCCTGTTTTTTTACTAAAATTGGTTTAACAATTTAATGAAGCAATTTTAATTTATTGAAAACTTTGGAAATTTAATATTTTTCGTTATAATTGGTATCAAATTTATGAACTAAAATTATTTTAATTGTTGACGGCTTATGAATATAAATAAGTTCATTTATAAAACTGTCAATGTAGATATAAGTTCGTTGATCGTCTTTTGACAGTTTCGAACAACGAACTTATATACGTATACAAAATATGTACTAATTGGAAATCTAAATGTTAAATTTGTGTTAATTTTTATTTATTTGTGTTAGTTTTTAATTCAAATTTCTCAAAATTACAAAAAATATTGAATTTCAATGTTTCAGATTCAAATTAAATGCTATC